TATGCTTTGAGATGTTGCATAGGCTCCATAACAATCTACTGTAAAAATGTCCATTTCTCCTGCAGAATCAGGTTGAAAGGATGTCTAAAAGGCGTGCTGAGTGTTGTTAGGCGCACTAAAAAGACGTCAAATTACAGTCTAAATTGCGGGTGTTCACTTCGGGACAAACCGACAATTTCACGGCCGATTAGAATTGAGCTCCCCTACTGTCACAAAGCGTGTGACAAGTCGAGCGAAAGTCGGGGAAGGGTATTTAAGCAGCGATCAGCGGTAGGGTTAACCGCCGATTGATAGGCCTTTTTGTCACAGTGGTTAACATCACTGTCACGTTGGGCACTGTTATATTGAGCCAATGCTGGTTAATTGGTCCTCGTGACAGGCACTTCCAGAATTGTATACTACGCTTAAACAGACTCTGTGGTTAGGAGAAACGCTATCTTCAAGTGAAGTACAAGCTGGAGTTCAAGCAGAATGGAGTAGGAGGAAAACTGAGGGAGAAAGCGCATCTGGGATGTTTGCAAAATCCACATTTCGCTCCAAATCAAAATTAAACCACTCCAAGAAACAATTTGATCTATTTCCACCTGCAGACCACTCAAAATACTGCTCATTCCATCAAAAAACCGGTCATTCAACTGAAGATTGTAAGACTAAACCAAAGAATTTGAAAAGCGCAAATTTGGTATCAAAAGGAAAAGAAAAAGAAACTTCCAATGTAAAAGCGACAGCTGGGATTGCTTATCTTTCCAACGCTAGCGCTTTTCTCACTGCAGTTGATACTGCAGACAATCCCATTGCTTTGTATGCCAATTCAAAGTCGATCTTTGTGGTGGATTTGGGCGCTTCTCGTCACATGTGTAATGACAAAAATTTGCTTGCATCAATTCATTCAATCCTTCCAACTCGGGTAAAATTCGGAAATTCTGCTATTCTACCATGAACACAAGCTGGTCCACTAGTCTTAAACGGTGTAGAGTTTCCAAACACGCTTTTGATAAATGAGACGAGGGAATACACGGAAATAGCAATAGCGCTACAATGTGGCCGTTACCGATTGCACCATTTTGTCACGGTCGTTGTTTCTTCTTCTCTAATGACCGACGGTCGACAAACTTTGGCTAACTACGTCGTAGTGGGGCGTCGATGTCTCACAAGGACAGAGTACTTGTACGGGAATTACGGCTAACTTCGCCGTAGTAATACATCAAGTGGTGAATGATAAGATGATTGTCGATGAACTGCGGCTGACTTTGCCGTGGTACGTTGTCACGAACTACGTCGTGACACCTCGATTACTCCACCAACAATGACCCTCCTTTGGCCATCAAAACCCCATCACGCCTTAACCTCTTTACTCTACACGTAACTCAGGACTTCTGACACCAAGTACGGCGAAGTTAGACGGAGATAGGCTAAGTAGGGACAATGGGAGCAGAAGTGCGGCGATGTTAGGCGGAGTTAGGCTAAGTAGGAACAATGGGAGCAGAAGTACGGCGAAGTTAGACGGGGTTAGGCTAAGTAGGGACAATGGGAGCAGAAGTGCGGCGATGTTAGGCGGAGTTAGGCTAAGTAGGGACAATGGGAGCAGAAGTGCGGCGATGTTAGGCGGAGTTAGGCTAAGTAGGGACAATGGGAGCAGAAGTGCGGCGATGTTAGGCGGAGTTAGTCGAAGGAGGAAGAGGATGGCCGAGGGCTCGGGGAAGTTGGACGAAGTGCGTTGAAGTACGTCAAAGCGCGAGAGGGTTGGATGAACGTCTAGGAGGAGTAGATAATATTAGCTGAGAAGATCGCTGAAGTTCTTCAGTGATCCTTGATTGTTGTCAGTAGTGAAAGATAGATAGAGATAGCTATTTACAAATCGAGATACATCGCCATCAGTAGAACAAAACCCCAGTTAGAGTAACCACGGCGAAGTACGCCGTAGTTACACCCCTTTCGACGTCTGCGCCCTCCCGGTTGGGTGAGACATCGATCCATAAGGATCAAGTTAGCCGAGGTTCGTCGACCGTCGGTCTATTAGGAAGTAGTTGCTCGAGGGCCGTGACATACGTCGAACTGCTCGGTGGTAGCTCTCCCTAACTCGACGGTTGTAACTACTGAATATATCTTTTGCTACTGACAATAATCAAGGATCGCTGAAGAAGTTCAGCGATCTGTAAACTATCTATACTTCTCCTCTCCTCTCATAGAATGTCCTTCAACTCCTGCACAGCCTCGCGCTCAGTCCCCTTCGCTCAACTCCGTCGTACCTTGCCATATCCCCGGTATCCTACTCCGCTCACTTTGACTAACTTTGCCTAGCTTTGCCTAACTTCGCCTACTCTGCTCTCCCTCGGTCTCCTTCTCCTAACTTTGCCACAGTTCTCCGTTAGGCGGGGTTGTCGTGACAAATAATCCCTAGGTCTTCCGTAACTTTGTCGTAGTTGGTCTCAGTGGTTCGGGGTGGTGGTGGATAGTGGTTCTGTGATGGTGAAAGGAGGGTCGGTGATGGTAGGTGTCAGGGATGTTACGACATGGTTCGTGACACATTTCCAACAGAATTATCAACTTTCACAATATGGTGTTACGGGCGGGGTCCAATCCCCAATGGGTAAGCAAGGTGACTGAGATGGGGCTGTAATCCAATACTTGTCTCTGGCTCGTAGAGCTTGAGGAGTATACAGAGGGTGAAAAGGGACTGAGGGTACTGAGGGAACTGAGAGAACTGCCAGATGTCAGGCTGGATCTGACCGGACTGACAAGTTAAGAATGAGATTCAACATGAGATTCCTAGGTGGTGAACAATATGTTTGGAGGGGGTTTATATCCACAGCAAAACAGGCTGAACTGCAAAACTACAACAAAAAGCTACGGAAGAACTGCTAAACATTTTTGCAATTGGCAATCCTTACATGTGAAACTAAGAACAAGAGGCAAAGGACCCAGGGGTCCAGGGGTAACTATTTAAGTTCATGGATGTAACAAGGAACAATAGACAGAGGACACAGGAGTCCAGGGGTAAGTGTTTGAGGTACGTGAACGCAAAGGAGAACAATATATGAAGGGCACAGGGGTCCAGGGGTAAGTGTTTCATGTGTGGGAGTGTAAGTGATAACAATAGGGATTGTTGAAGGAGATCAAGAACAATAACCTAAGCCAAGGGGGGTCAGGGGTGAGTGTTCCAGTTGCGTTTCAAGTGCGGGAACATGGGAAAAGACTATCTTAGGTGGCAAGTAGGTGATGTATGACATCTGGACACCACCAATTACCCAAAAGATTTGGATCGCAAGAGATGTCATTTTTGCTACAAAATCAGATTTCTCCAAAGCTCCTGAAGTTCCTGATCTGGAACATACACCACATATTACTGGTAGTGGCACAAATGTTCACTGCAAACAATGGTCAAATCCGTCTTGCAGTGGTACATCTGATCTATCATGAAGAAACCTGAAGATTAATAAATGTCTTTTCTGGAAAAAAAGGGGGAAACTCACTCGGCAATGGGGTTCAAAGCACTAGAGTCGAGTTGTTTGAGTAAAGTTTCAGCCGGAGCTCCCAAGAATTTGGCAATGGTTGAGCAGAATTACAGCAGTTGGTAGATAGCATCCTCATTCCCATCCTGCTTGGTGTCCAAAGTGATGAAAATCTCTTTGCTGTAGTGTTTCCATTCTGATAGATGTAGCACCTGTTCATAGATGAGGTCCTCGCTATGTTCATCCTTGGAAGTGTGACATGCAGAACATTTGCCGGAATTTTGCTTAGGTTCTGCCTGAAGGTCAGTAACAGCTTTCTTTTGGATGGAGTTGGGGTATTCTGGACTGAATGAGAGAGTCATGACAATGTCCTGGTTTCACTTGCTGCTTTCACAGACTCCCACACTTCTAAGATCTTCCTTTCTACATATGTCCATTGAAAAAGCATTTGATATGTGTACCACAAGTGTCAAGGATACTGCCCACCCTGGGACAGAGGACAAAGGACAAGGGGACAAGGACTAGGAGTGACAAGGAATATACTTATGATAACAGGACTGAGTCCAACAAGGAATAAGACTGTGACCCAAGGAATGTCTCTGGCTTGTCTGACAAGACTGGGAAGGACTTGGACTGGAACTGTAACTGGACTGGATTGGACTCAAAAAAAGGGTGGCAATGGAAATGACTTTTGATCAAGAACTCAAGAAGACTACAAAGTACTAAATAGGGTTTATATAGACAAATCAGGCTTTCTACCAGGTTGAACCGTCCTGAGTAGGAGAACACCGTAATCCTTGGTGTACCTATCATTTTCTAACTAGCAAAGACAGACTGCACATTCTTGGCGTGCTGCGTGTGATACGCTGTGGACTGCACTAGAAAGCACGCAGCACGTTGTGAACCGTACGCTTGCCTTAAATCCAACTGTACAGTTGGGTGTCAAAAGTCATGATCCGGCTCCTCATAGTAATTTCCCTATGAAAATCTGTGTACACGCTTGTGCTGGAGATAACTCTGTCAGTTTTCCATGCATGACCGTCAGCAGCATATCAAAATGTTTGTAAGTTAGTACTTTATCATGATCTGTACAGACTACAGCAGTGTAGTTTGAAATATATTTATGGGGATCACCTAGAATATGGTCCGTTTTGGGTCAAAAAGACCTGTCTCCTATCAAATATTGAAAAATGCCTTTGACTTCCAGTGACAACAAAGCATGATTTCCAGTCCTGTATGCATGTACAAATTGTACACATGGATTTGCATTCATTAATGCTTGGGGCATGCCTAAACCCAGATAAGGAAGATACAGCAGACCAAAGTTGGCTGTCATCATTTTACAGCCAAATTACTATCAAAAGCCGGATCATGACTTTTGACACCCGACTGTACTGAGGTCTTGGGTCTCATGCCATACCAGGCATCATACCTGAAGATAACATAACTAACTAAAGGTTCCTCAGGTCTCTTGCCTCAAAGGCATCAGAGCAGAACTAAAACATGCAGAAACTGATACTTGTTATTCATGACAACAAGATTCTTTACTCAGATATTTGGATTGTTGGCAGGGACCGGAATGATAAAGGGAGTAGGTGGAGGCGAGATCCAATAAATGAATAATGACTCTTGATAACTTTCAACCCGCTTCCTGACTGCCAATTGTCCATGATGTTGTTTGAGATGGTGTAATGCATATGTCCACACTTCCAAGGGTGCTGTGAGATGTAGCAGAAGTGTAATGTCAGCAAAGGGCAATGAACTGACAAGATTAATGTGGGTTGAGAAAACAGACATGAATTGCCAAGACTGAAATGACTCACCGATATCTATGATTTCCCTCACCCTACGCTTTTGCATGCTCTTCCCCTCCTCACAATGTTTGGCTGCAGCACAAGATTGACTACGTTTCCGTTTTTGCTTTACAAGAGACCCGGGGGATCCGCCCCCGCTGGAAAAAGTGGGTCGCGAACCCAAGTCTCCGCCAGCGTGAGCTGGATTGAAAGTATCCATTTCTGGAAACGACACACCTGCGGGAGGTCGCCGTCTGGTTGCCCATTCCTTCAACGCTTTTGGGTAGGTTGTGAACCTACCGTTTGTGAGCAGAGTGTTATTTAAGAAGCATGACTTCGTCTATGTGATCAATATCACTGTGAATTTGCTACTGGATCGGTCTCGGATGCTATTCTTTTCAGACATTTTACGTCAAGCTTAAATTGTCCATTAGTATTACTTATGATCTCCGCTTTACGATTCCATTTCCTCATCAGTGATTTTGTTTCTGACTTTGAGTCATTGCTGAACTGTACTGCCCTTATTTCTATCGTCAATTGGTCTCTCAGGTTGTTTAACAGTATTTCCTCATATTCATCTTTGGTCAAATCAACATCACCAAACACACACCGGCATCTGCAGTTCCAGATCGTCCTTAACATAATCGCCATTCATGTTGACCATAACCTTTGATTTACTCTGTTTTCCTTTTTGTTTTCAAAGTTAATCAGGTTCAGGGCTTGTATGTCATTTATACTCATTCCGGGGCAGTCTTCCTTCAAAGTGCTCTCCCATATTCTTTGTGTCATTCTTCTGCATTCCGCAACACCAGGTCTTTTGCATTTTACAAATATGTGCTCGATTGTTTCTAGTTCCCTACAGAAAGAGCATAGATGCTTTTCCATATAGCTTAATTTATTTCCCACATTGAGGGACTCGTTGACTATCCTCCAGATTAAGTCTTTGTTTTTATTTGCCGTTTCTGTTGATCTTATCTTTGACCACAACATCTCGTCCGTTACTGGCCACCCTTTCTGTTCCGCATACTCTAGAGTTGCTGAGATGGATCTTGACTTATCCTGATTTTTGAGTATCAGGTAGTCATAGATGTCCTTAAGGCTCAATTTTTTCATAAGCATTCCTTGGATAGTGTAGTAGTTTGTCCTAGGGTAGTTTCTTGCATCTCTCTGCCTAGGGCTGCATATCTGTCTGCCTCTTCATTTCCTATGTTTCCATTATGTCCTTTCACCCATGTTAACCATATTCTCATGGGGAATTTTCTTGCTTCGTGCAATAAAACTTTCATTAGATCATCATTCTCCGTATTTAGGTATCCCATGTCTTCACTTTCCTTAGCTACATGGGTACCTACATTTATTGCATACATTGAATCAGTTCTTATTTCCAGCTCTTGTGTTTTAGACGCATGCCTAATAGCCATGATTAAGGCCCATAGTTCCGCTCTTTGGTTCGTTTGCCTTCCTGGTGTTCTGAAAGGCATCCCTCTCTCAGTCTCCCAGAATATGCCAGAGCCGGCTGTCACCTTGACCGTATTTAGGTTGATGCAGCTGCCGTCTGAATATATGATTTCCGTCTCAGAGCTTTCACCCTTTGGCAGGATATATGGGTCTCTGATAGGTCTTTGATTATCAAATACTGTCTGTCCAAAGATTCTAAACGAATCTCTTGGTTGCCCTCTGGCGATGAAGTCATACCCCATTTCCAGTTTCTTTGCTGTTTCTTTCGTTACCTTGACATGTGTCACAGGTTCATATTGTCTGCTGCTTAGGTCTGGTTTCCATGCAGGTAGTATTGCATTATATAATCTTCTGGCCATTTCGTCACATCTATTTCTATCGTTTCCAGTGAGGCAACTATTGTCTTGTTCAATAAGTCTACCCTCTCGCGAGATTTGTTCTAGGTCTCCTACTGTTACTATGTCATGATTTTCCCTTAGACATGTCGTGCTCGGTCTATAGTGTTGTCTAAGATCCTTCGGTACTACTCCGGGGTGTAGCAGGAAGTTCATGTTCCGTTTCATTTCCTCCGAGGGTCTGATTACCTCTAGTCTGACATTATACTTCTTTGATATACGTAGCATTTTAGTGACAAAATCAGGGGCATACTTCGTGTAAATACGTTTTGATATTTGCTGGGTGAAGGGGTCCGTTACTAGGTTGTTCTTTTTGCTCTTATCATTTATCTCATTCATCACAAACCATTCGGCAAAGTCTCTCCATAGGGGTTCACCGTTTGGTTCAGTTATCAGTTTCTGTAGCCACTGTATTCTTATTGCTTCAAGCCTTGACTTAATGTCTATCATGCCCATTCCTCCTTTTTCGATAGGAAGGCACATTTGCTCTCTCGATATCTCTCCTCTGGTTTTTGCATTCCACACAAAGGTCCAAACCATCTTGGTCAATGTTTTCACCACTTCTTCTGGGACATCCATCATTGTGGCAGCATACCATACCTTTGACAGAATCATTACCTTTGCTATGATGATCTTTCCTATCAGCGATAGTGAAGTCTTGTCCCATGCATTTATTGCTTGTCCTACATTATCTATTATCTTACTCCAACATGTATCAGCACTTGTTCTGTTCCCTAACCACACACCTAAAACCCTTATTGGGGTTCCTTCTTTCACTGGTGGAGTCCCGTGCAGTATGATATAGTCTTTGTTTTTTGCTCGTTGTTCTTCGTTTCCTAGTGCCAACACCAGGGTTTTGTCTTCGTTGAATTTTGCAGAGCTGGCTTTACAATATATATTGAGGCATTTATTAAGGTATTCACCTTCTTTCTTGTGTCTCACTATTATGTTCAGATCGTCTGCATACAGTATTTTGACTAGTCGTCTTTCAGAATTAGGGACTTTTATCCCCTTCATAATGCTGTTTCTCAGGGTAATCGAGAGAGGTTCTATTGCAATATCAAAGAGTAGGCATGACAGTGGGTCACCTTGTCTTACTCCCCTTCTGATCTGAAATTTTTCCCCAACGTGCCCATTGGTTATCACTCTGGTGTAGCTTGCTTGATATATATTGTTTACATAGTTGACAAACTTTGACGGGAAGTTAAATTCATTGAGGACATTTTCTAACCAGTCGTGTGCAATTCTATCATAAGCCTTCTCTTGGTCTAGACTAACCAGGAACCCTTCCAGGTTGTTCTGGTTACAGTATTCAATAGCTAGGTCCATCACTTTTATCTGTTCTCCTATGTAACGTCCTGGTATGAAACCGGCCTGTTCAAATCCTATGATGTCTTTGATGAAGGAACCTATCCTGTTGGTCAAAATCTTAGACAGTATTTTGTAGTCAGTGTTCAGTAACGTAATCGGTCTATAGTTTTTCATCTTAGTCTTGTCTCCTTTCTTGTATAGCATGGTTAGGATCCCTTCACACACAAGGTCGGAGGAAGGTCCATTCTCAAATATCCTGATGCTTTCTCTCTTACTTCCTATCATAAATCTTGAATCTTGGTTGCAGTGCAAGCAGTTTATAAAGGGTCTCAGCTCATACCATGAGCCACCAGCCACCACAACCCCGAACCACTGAGACCGACTACAACAAAGTTACAAGAACCTAACGAGCGTTTGTCACGACAACCCCGCCTGGCGGAGAACTACGGCAAAGTTAGGAGAAGGAGACCGAGGGCTACAGAGTAGAGTGGAGGAAGTAAGACGAAGGGCGGCGAAGTAAGCGGAGTAGGACATCGGGGATATGGCGAGGTACGGCAAAGTTGAACAAAGAGGACTGAGCACGAGGTTGTGCAGGAGTTGAGGGATTTTCTATGAGGAGAGAGGAGAAGTATGTATAGTTTACAGGTTGCTGAACTTCTTCAGCGATCCTTGATTGTGGTCAGTAGCGAGAGATATATTCAGTAGCTACAACCTTCAAGTTAGGGAGAGCTACCACTCAGCAGTTTGACGTATCACGGCAAAGTTAGCCGCAGTTCATCAACAGTCACCTTATCGTTTATCACTTGACGTATTACTACTGCGTAGTTAGCCGTAGTTCCCAGACAAGTACCCTGTCTCAGTGAGACATCGACACCCTAGTACAATGTAGTTAGCCGAGGTTTGTAGACGGTCGGTCAGAAGAGAAGAAGAACCGACGTTTGTGACATTTCCCTCCTACTTTCCCTCCGACTCGCCCTCTTCCTACAACTTTGCGCTTAGCTTTCCTTCCCTCTATGAGTTGTGGTACGACTTACAATACACCTTGCGGTACAACTTGCGGGACAATGAATTGCGGTACAAAGTGTGGTATGACTTGTGGGACAAAGTGCGGTACAACTTGGATTTCAACAGGTGCGAGTTGAGACTTAGTAGTCTTGACTCCAGCAGGACTGTTTGTATCCATCGCATTACTAGCAACTCCAAGTTGAGACTCAGGAGTCTTGACTTGAGGAGGAGCAGGGATTATATAATGAAGTCTCGAGTGAGTTTCAAACCTTTCTTTCACATGATCATCACGGTGGGGGGATGAAGTGTGAAAGTGAAAAAAAATTCATGCTGGATTAGGCTATTGAGCTAGGAAGAACCCTGATGGCCCCTCTCATCGCCTCCGCCAGTTGATATCCTAGTCATAGGACACGCTCTCATATAGATAGAGTCCGGAACGTGACATGTATTTTCATAGGCATGAGAGAAAGACCCGACGGATAAACATGGATCTATGCACGACTCCGCGGCTTCTTGACGCCCTCCAGTCACTTCAGCTCACGGTCGGACAATGCTTGCTTCTCATCCTCCTTCCTCGTCGCGATTCGAGTGACGTGACTAGCTCGTGAAGTCGCTCACACACTCCCACACATTGTCGACGCCTTCTTTCCACAGACTGACTTTTCCATCGGCACAGCTAACGGCCAAAATATTGCCCGCTAGTGACCAGCTTACTCTCCATACCGCGTCGGGGAAGTGCGGGTCTTTGGAGTTTGGTGCGGAGGGGAGGAGTGCGGTAGACGTCCATGGCGCTGAAGGGGAGGGACGAGAGTGTATGAGTACGGTGCGATCCTATTTGTTGGCGTAAATCTAATCCCAGTGACCCGTACATACCTGAGATGCAGACGCAATGTACATACCGGGTAGACCGATATTTGGAGCCCAAGCTACATCCCGAACCCAATCATCGTGTCCTTTGATCACCTCTTCCTCCTCCCATTTTTTCGCTACGTCATCGTACGTCCATATCCGAATGAGGTTGTCATTACCACCAGACACGAAGCGCTTCTGTACTGCCAGCTGGGAAGATGATGTTGGACCGGCGGGACGAGACGTTGCGGTGGCTTGAAGTGGGGCTGTGAAGACGACCGACGGTGCCCAGGAAACGGCATTGGCGCCAGTGCCGTGGGCGGGGAAGATGGAGGCATCGGTTGAGCCATCATCTGCGTCATTCGTCAGTCGAGAGTCCATGATCGGTATCAGAGTTGAACGCACTCTGGAAAGTCAAGACGGAAACCTTGCCATCACTGGAGCCACAGACAAGGATGGGTCCCAAGTCGTAAGGAGCCCATGATATAGAGTTGACTGCAAGTCAACCAAGTGGCTCGGTATAGCCATAACAAGGTAGCGTACCACTGGCAGTATGTAGTGTGTGCTCTTTGATGCGTTCCCATCCATCCTGCAACTCCCCGCCGCCGCCTTTGGCTTGACCGGAACCAACTTCCTTCCATATGAAGACTCTGCCATCGTAGGAGCATGAAGCGAGTATTGAGCCGAAGGAGGGATGTGCCCAGGCGACCGACCAAACGGCTGCGGAATGTCTGAGACTAGATGAGCACAGCTATAAGCAGTGAGACTGGCATACGCACCCTTTCAAGATGACAGGCTCGCCCTTTGCTTCGCCCCTGATGACGTTGAAGATACGAATGGTCTTGTCAGAGGAGCAAGTGGCGAGTCTTTTACCATAGTAGTCGAGCTGAGAGTCATGCTGTGATAGATGAGTGACATCTTCACAGCTCAAGGTAGCAGGATGTGAACTCACGATCATGTCCTCGTGCTGTGTCTCCACGGGAACAGCTTTGGAAGGTTGAGCAGTCTGACAGTAAGAACGCAACACACGAAGCCAGAAAGGAAGACGTCTCACCATTGTGAGATGAAAAGTATCGCTCAGCGACCACGTTTCTCTTCTACCACTCGCTAGGTCTTTCAAAACGAGTATGAAGAAAGAGGGAGAGTTCGAGAGAGATGGGGGATAGAGTAGTAGGCTAAGAAGTGATGGCAGAACGAGGATGGAGATGAGGGGAATGCAGACGTGGAGTGAAATATGCTTACGTAATAAGACTTTGTCGCTGATGACCCACTTTTATACTCAAATTACCTTACATACAGTAGTAATTACTCTACTCGTACCCGTACTCTACTTAACAACCTACACCTACCTACATACATACCTTAATATCTACCAGGTCAGCTTACCATGTTCGATCTTGACACAGTCATACAGACGGCGTTTAGGGAATGTTCAGATCTCCCGAGCGGTAACTATCTCCTGCGGGTTAGTCGGTCAAGGCTGAACCACCGTCAGGCCTCACAGATCTGGACACGTATCGCCGACATGTCCTCGCTCAGCTGCAACAGCCCGACTTGGTGCGTCTCGTCCACATGGATTGCTGGCTTGTTCCCCCTGGCTCATATCAGATCCCCCCACTATCTCCAAGAGCTACACCTCTTTCTGTCGTGTCCTTCAACTGTCTGCTCCAAGACACCGGGTACCCACTGGAAGTGTTTCTGCCTGGAGGCGTCACTCAATCTACCGAAGTAGACTTGGATCCCACCTTGTTGAAGGAGAGATGGATAGGGTGGGGCGTCCAGTAAGTTCTGCGATACCAATCATGATCTCTATCCTGATGCCGCTCGCAGAATCCCCGGTCAGCAGCCATGGTCATCCGCAAAAAGTGCCCTCGAGCACCTGTCTGGTCCTGAGGTCACCGAAGCTCATTTGATGCCCAAGACTACCAGGTCAAAGTTTCCTCTCCCGACAAGCCGCGATAGCTATGTCGGGGCATTGTTGAAAGTGAGCTTCTTCTTCACTGTGCATGTATGAACTGAATGACAGATCTACGATGGTCAGCCGTCGCACAAACCAGGGTCCGTCGAAGAGTACGTTGGCATCGTCTGTCAATCTCCGCTCCCCACGGCCATGTCATCGGACGGCGACGAAGACATCGACATGGTTCCTTGCTTGCACGTATTGTCGACACGATCTCCAAACGTTTCCGCTCCCCCATTTCCTTCCGATGACACTACGCGAACCGAGTTGATCCGCTCCTTAGGCGAATGCTTCCAACCGAGAGATGACGTTGCTGGCGAGTTATTATTACTCTTCTTCTTGTCCTACCCCGTCAGTCGACCATCGACGGCTTCGCCCATCGGCACACTAGCCCTGAACCTACTTCGATCCAAATCCTCGTCGGGCATCGAGATGGTAACCCGTTTGTTGATGCCAATCGTTGTCGAGCTCCCCCTTACTTTGCCTCTACTTCATTCGGAAACACTTTACCCGAGGTGCCTCGACTCTACAAATCTCGAAGCAGGATTACTTCAACTCGCACCAGGGACAGTTTTGGTGTTAGACGAAGACGGCATGGGCGAAGGTGGTCAGCTGGGGGATAAGGCCGTCAAAAACCTACAAGCTCTGGCTCAATGTATATCCGAACAAACACTTCGGTACGAGTACCCATACATGGAGAATCTCAAAATGGAATGCGCCATTCGTCCATTGATATTCAGTCAAGGACGAAGCCTTTTACCGGTGAGTCGCACGCATCGTTTTGTCCAACGCTGACATCGGTGAGGTGGACATTTGCCTACCTGTCACTCCCAGCGACGCAGTGCCTGACATAGACGAGCCAACTCTGCAACGTTATCGATCCTTCTTAGCCGGTCATGCGACATCATCGCGAGCTGCTCAGGTCGAGATACCAGACGCAATCTCCGCCTACATTCAGGAAGGCTACGTGGTCGACAGACGAACAAACGCCGAGAGGGGCGAGGCGAGTGCGGACGAGTCTTTGAAGAGAAGGATGCGGCTGGCCCGGTAAGCTCATGGCGCATCCCAGCCTCCAGAGCAAGGGCTGATATGATCAGGCTCTTGGCTCTCTCTCACGAACCTCCGATACTGTCACGCGACGTGTGGGAACGGGCTATTGCCTTGGACACGCAAGTACTCGCACGTCTGCGGCAGCGGAATGAAGCTCGCGAAATTGTCAAGCCTGGTGCATTAACTACAGTAGCTACATGAATTACGCATCTATCAGATTCTCCCCTCCCTTGGCTTTTGATTCGGATGGCTTGCTTGCCTTGCGGGGATAAAATTCAGCCAGGATCTGGGATCAGTCAACACTTCCATCGATGTATCATATCACTCACCTTTGGGCTGATACGGTTGAGTGACTCTTTGGGGAAGATTCGTAAGAGCTCCCATGCGATGTCGAGAGACTCGAAGATGGTTCGGGCTTCATAGGCACCTGAGGATAAGTAGAAGAGCTCCCGAACATCAAGCACTACTCACCTTGACCAACGAATTCCTTTTCGAAGCGTTCGAGGAACTCCAAAGCAAGCTTGTCATCTGATGACAGAGCTTCCTCGCCGACGACAGCCTTCATCGAGGCAGCGTCTTTGCCGACCGCGTACTTGGCGTACTTCCGTCAGCGGGTGACGTACGGTCAGACTTACCAGCTGATTGGAAACATCGCCGTGGTCCTTTCGCGTGAGCTTCTCGCCAATGGCACTTTTCATCAGTCGGGACAGAGACGGGAGCACATTGATGGGAGGGTAGATCTGTCGGTTGTGGAGCTGACGGTCGACGAATATTTGGCCCTCTGCAAATTGAGCCGTATACGCGGATGCTGATGAAGCGACCCACCGGTGATGTAACCTGTCAAGTCTAGCGATTAGCTGATACTACTGAGCTCAGTACCAGACCTACCAGGAATGGGATGAGTGATATCTGCCGTCAGCGATACTGCCGCTGAATGCGATGATAACATACCGTCATTGGGCATGGTGAGGATCGGAACCTGCGTGATTGACCCGTTACGTCCCTCCACTCGTCCAGCCCTTTCGTACAAGGTCGACAAGTCGGTGTATAGGTACCCAGGGTAACCTCGACGACCCGGGACCTCCTCACGGGCGGCTGATACTTCTCGAAGAGCGTCAGCGTAACTGCGATCAGCATTTGTTAGGGGCGCGGCTGTTTTGCTCACCTGGACATGTCCGTCATGACGACAAGCACGTGCTTCTCTAGCTGGTAGGCAAAGTATTCGGCCGTGGTCAAAGCCAACCGAGGAGTGATGATACGTTCGATTCTGAGGTCAGCGAGATCCTTCATTTGTTGACTCACGTGGGGTCAGACGCCAAATTGACGAAAAGAGTACTATTACTGATGGAGCCACTTTCTTCAAAGTCTTGTTTGAAGAATCGAGCCGTCTCCATATTCACACCCATGGCGGCAAAGACAATCGAAAAGTTGTCTTCGTGCCCGTCATGCACCCCTTTAGTGGCGCCTGGCCGTTTGACAAGCCCAGCCTGTCGACAGATCTGTGCAGCAATCTCATTGTGCGGCAAGCCTGATATTCAATCCCCAGCTCACTGAGGACAGGTTCCTCGGCACTCACCAGCGGCACTAAAGATGGGGATCTTCTGTCCTCGAGCGATGGAGTTCATGGTATCAATGGTAGATATACCAGTCTGGATCATTTCCTCGGGATAGATTCGCGAATATGGGTTGATAGGGGAACCTGTCGTCAGCTTGGCCCACCGGGTAGCATGGCTCACCGTTGATGTCAAGATAGTCCTCGGCCCAGACTTTGGGCCCCTTGTCGATAGGATTTCCACTACCGTTGAACACGCGGCCAAGCATGTCTTCCGAGACGGGGAGTTTCATAGAAGATCCTGAGAAGGCGATACGAGTAGCCGATGTGTCGACACCAGAAGTCCCTTCGAAGACCTGTACATGAGCATGGCACAAAGAGAGAGGGATGACAAAACGTACCTGCACGACTGCTTTTTTCCCACTCACTTCGAGTACTTGACCTCCACGGATCGTACCGTCGGGTAAGGTGAGCTGTACGATCTCGTTGTAAGACGGGAACTGGATGATCAGTCTTGGCCTGGGATGAAAGCGAGCAGAGGCGACATACTGAAACGTTGTCAAGCACTACCAATGGGCTACAAGTGAGTAGGGAGCTACTTTCAAAAGTTTGACTCACCCGTTGACAGCGGCGACAGTGCGATAATCTGAGATCAGCTCGGAATGCAGCGAGCAACGTACCCATGCGGGGATTGACATGATATTGGCGGACAGCGGCGGCCTGGGTGAAGTGAGCGAAGACGACGTCAACTGAGAGTGATCAGACTGACCGCATGTATAGCAGCTAGCTCTCTGTCAGTCATCTTTGCGTCTGTCATGATGCCGTCTGTCAAGTGTAGGGTGAAAGAGTAGAGGTAAGTATGGTGTACAAAGCTCAAAGGGATGAGAAGCGAGGGTGTGTGGTAAGGTAGGCTTGTTTACGTAACATAAGTTACTCAGACTCGTCATAGTCGTCGAGGTAGAGTCCTCACTCACGTCGATAAAAGTTCATGTTCTTATCTAACCCTCGAATCGTCCTCGGTCGCTTCCACTCGATGGCTACTTACACTCAAGAACGAGCAGCTGAGCTCAGGGAGAACATCGGGGCTGTCCTAAATGCCATTGACAGTGCTGCTGGACCCAGTGTCAAGGTAGGTCCTCCCCCCCAGCTTCCTCAGTCAGCTGAAGACTCTGCAGCCCCGGTTGGTGGCTATCTCAAAGCTCAAGCCTGCTTCAGACATTCAGGCTCTGTATGATGCTGGGTATCGTCACTTTGGAGAGAACTACATTCAGGAGCTGGCGGACAAGGCGGCGATAGTGGGTCGTCGCCCCCACCACGACGTCAAACTCACATTTTAGTTGCCCAAAGACATACAATGGCACTTTGTTGGATCTTTGCAGAGTAACAAGGCCAAACTAGCAGCTTGTGAGTCAAACATCATACCGAGTCTCATTCACTTCAAGCTAAAGTCGTAGCGATCCCCAACCTGTACTGCCTCGAAACGCTGTCATCGATCAAGGTGGCCGATCTTCTGGAAAGATCCATATCGGATCGACCTGCCCTCAACGTCTATCTGCAAGTCAATACGTCTGGCGAGGATTCGAAATCAGGGCTTTCGCCTCTGACTCAAGACCGAGATGAGCTCCTTCAACTCGCCCTGCATGTCAAACGGTCATGTCCTCATCTCAACCTGTTAGGTCTCATGACTATCGGATCGTTTGGATCCTCGCACGACACGTCCAATCCCAACCCCGACTTTACATGCCTGAAGCAGTCACGGGATGAATTGAGGAGAAAACTAGTAGAGGCCGGCTTGGAATGCAACGACTTGGAGTTGAGCATGGGCATGAGTGCCGATTTCGAGCAGGCGACGAGGGAGGGTAGTAGTAGCGTCAGAGTGGGCACAAGGATATTCGGGGAGCGACCAAGAAAGAACTAAAAGACATCTTGAACGTCATTACATGCATAGAGGTACAATCTCTCTCATATCGACATCATCAGGTGATGTCTAGTGTAATCTTGCCCAGAAGCCAAATCCGACGCTGAACCGAGATTGGGGTAGAAGGGCACCAAAGAATCGGAAGAACCGAGGATCAGGGTGTCTGTCTTTAGCCTTCATATCGGCTGCAGATAGATCAAACTCACTATACATCCGCCAGTAAACCTCACGGACTCTACGAGCGGGATGAAACATGCCCTGCAGAACATATGACAGCACCACACCAGGGCCCACACCTAATCTCATGGCCTCTATGGCGTCCATGACTCCACCAATGACGTGAGGACTCGTCTCGAAGATGTTGGGCCACACGAGGTTGAGCAGGTGCGTGAGGGCCTCTTCGTAGCCGAGACCAGCGACCCCGATGGTAAGATGCTTCACAATGGCGCATGCCGTCTGTCGATGTACGTGATCACGATCGGTCAAGGCGTCTTCCAGCAGGCCGACGACAGAGTGGATGTAGTCTTTAGACATTTCACCGACATATTCGAAGACGAACGCCAGGGCCTTGAGGCAACCGTTACGAACGTTGAGTTCTGGTGTGCGATATTCGTTGAGGATGGCAGGGATACAAGTGAAGGGCCCACACGTCTCGGCTACAATGGCAATGGCGACGGTACTGCAGACTCGACTTTGCCGTTCTTGTACCTTGAGGTTTGTGAGAAGAACGCTGAGAACGTCCTGAGGACCGATAGCCTTGGCTATGTAGCCAAACGAGTTGACAGCTGCTCGTCGAATCGCCTTTTTATGTGCTTTGAGGAGATCGAGCAGTTCGAAACAGATTCGCATCCATTCTTTGGCAGGCACAAACTCTGCTCCTCGATCGGCGATACGCCCGATAAGATTGATAGTTGCCTCTTGCACTTTCTCGTGACGATTTCTCAAAATAGGGGTCATACGTGGGACTGCAATCAGCTAGATACAGACGACGTGAGAAAGACTCACGGAGATCCTTGACAGGCGGGTTCATCTGCGTCATACCAACAACGTTGGCGATAGCTCCCTCTGCGGCAATCAAACTGCAGGTCAGCGGAGATATATTGTGAGGATCTCAAGAGGGATAGGCTTGCACGTACCTTCCGAGTGCATCCGGGTATTCCTCACCCAATTGCTCGAAGATAACAACTCCCAGCTTACTCAACAGATGATCCTCCCCGTTGCTCTTCACTATAGGAGCGAGTTTCGTGGTCAGGTCAGCGGCGAGCATTCGGACTTTGGCACTCTTGTTGGTGAGCCGCCAGAGAATCATTGAGATGATTTGGGGAAGATACGGTTTTACTCGACCACCGAGAGCACTGACCACCGTACTGAAGCCATCCAAAATGATCGTATCCTCAAGAGTTTGCTCCTGGAAAGCGAAGATGATACCGTCGATGAGTTGCACTTCTAGACGCTCGTCAATGTCGGCGGCACCCGTGTTGGCAATGACCTTGGTGATGGTCTCCATGACCATTTTACGGAAGGGCTCGGACTCATCCTTTAGATCATTGCAAATTCGTCCAACAATTTCGGCAACACCGGCTTTCTGCGCGAGCTCAACAGTTGTGTCCACGAGCTGCTTGTAATTCCGTCGGTCGAGAGCCATTCGACGAACCCAGAAAGCTTTGTAGAACTCCGGCAAGACTTCAGTCTTGATATACGTGGGGGTCACACCTTCCGTTCCAGCACATTGCTTGACGACTTGGAGAACGATGCGTCGCATTTCCTCGTCAGATGTCCGAAACTCACGGATGAGAATCGGCATACACTCTCGAACGTAGTAGCCGGCATACTCGGGGTCCATGAGAGGAATGATGTAGCCGATGGCCTTGAGGAAGGCGGCGAGCGTTTTCCCTCGATGCTGTCGGATGCCCAACCAGAGGGGTTTGAGCACGTTGTCGAAGGATTCAATCCCATAAGGTGCGGCAGATTCGGCCAAGGCAGCCAGACTAAGAGCAGTCATGGTACGGACCTTTTGTTGTTCGTCTTGCAGACCATCTGCAACTGCATCGACCAAGTTCCGTAGATGTGGAAGAACCGCACAACCTGTCATCTGAGCAATCTGCTGGATGATACGAATACCCGTGTGTCGGGCTTGCCAGGATTTCTTCGAGCGACAGACAGCTTTCAGGAAGGGGAGAAGAGCGGGGATGCCGAGGGCTGAGGCGACTACGGCAAATGCACGAGCGGTGGTATTTCTGACATATTCGTCGACATGATCGATATCGGGACGCATGGTTGAAATCATGTGGGCTAGACCGGCAGCTTTGGCAAGGTTACTGATGATCTCACGACCTTCTACCCGAGCGTAATAGTCCTCATCGATGAGGAGAGGTTCGATCACGACCAGGATCTTGTGAACATAAGGTCGCACCAGGTCGTCAAGTTTATAGAGAACTCGGTCGATGACTTTGACAAGTAAATGTCGTTCTTGATCCTCAAGGGAACGCTCCATCAAGAGAGGTAATATTTTGTCAAACAGGGGTCCGGCTCCGAATTCTCGAGCGCGGTCGGTGATTTGTCGTAACGCTGATTTACGTACAGGTGGCGTTCCGTTCTTGATCTTCAACAATAATCGCATGATTTTGCGCTCCTTCAGCTCTTCAGTGGTGTACCCAATGTCATCTTCCTCACCACCCCCATCTCCCAAAATCTTGGCGAAGTACTGCGTATCCTCTGGCTTCAAGAACTGCAGAGTCCCAATCCCTTCAATCTCAGTCTGCTCCGTCGTACCCTGCAAACCGCCAGCTGCCGTCCTCGCCCTCACAGCATCGGCATCGTCTTGCATCATGAAGCCATCAGAAGTCTGAGCCGGGACCAATTTTCGAACGGAAGGTGCCGGCTTGTAGTCGTCCGGGACTTCGATGATCACATAACCATCTACAACACCAGGTAGGATACTGTCGAGCTCCTCATCGGTGATCGCTCGATAACGCTTGTCCTCTACCATGACTACTCCATTTGTGGTTTGCGAAGCGGCACCAACTGCGGCATCGGAAGATGAAGGAGTCTGATCCCATCGCGACCGCTTGATTACCGCTTCTGGAGCAGCTGCCGGAGTCTGATCCCAACGAGACCTCCGCTTGGTCGACGCCGTATCTGAGGAAACATCGGGTTTCTCCTCTTTGACATCATCCACGTCCCATCTTCTCTTCCTTCTCGGCGGTGTAGCGTCGCCAGCTTGGTCTTTTGGAGGGGTGTCACCTCCTGTCAAGGCTCGGGGTGGCGTCTTATCGTCCACTGGCTTGTCCAGTTTCGACTGCTCATCCTTCTCGAGCTGCTCCTTGTACTTTCTAACGCGCTCCTCCTCTTTCTCCAAGTTCTGTCTCCTCATCCTATCCTCGTAACTGTCATCTTCTCCTTCCAGCGTAGCCTCTGTCCGCTTGAACCGCCGCAGATGATACTCGGTCTGCCTGGCTGCCACCTGACGAGCCTGTGATCGATCCATGGTCTCGTCCGGTATCTCCTCTGCCTCTATCATCTCGGCATGCTCGTCCAGGAGCTCTTGAGGAGCAGAAAAGTTCTGCAGGGTGGGATAGGATTGTTCGGCCATGATGATGTATGGAGAGGGGTTAATCCAAGACAGGGTAAAGTCAACCACCTGAGCATGGGGAGGGGAGAACTTGAGGCATTTCGGCGTTAGCGTAAAAGGTTGAGTGTGGCACATTTGCCACCCATCACCGTCACCGGGGCTCCACCTGGCACGCGACTTTGCCATCACTTCTCGTACTCGTAGTCACTCGTTTACGGTAGCCTCCCCATCAGTAGTGGTACTATACATCTTACAATCTAAGCACAAGGTACTTTGTTGCTCTACTCGTCAAAGCTTTCAATGGTTCTCACCCCTCTCGTATCTCCTACAGACTCGTATCTATCACAGTCTTCACCTCTATCTCGTCCAGCTCGCACGCCCACCAGCTCCCGTCCCTCCCTCGACGTTCATCCCCCACCTCTTCGTAAGACTTCCACCAGTAGCTTGTCAAAACTATCCGACTTTCATCTCGACTCCCCAGCATCGGATGACAGTGGTGATGCCTTCTCCTCTGAAGCCCTGTCTTATCAGCGGGTCGAAGGTGTGCGTCATGTCTCACTTAGCCTCAAGGCGAGGTGAGTCGTCCTCAACGGCCCGATCGTCCCTTTGCTCATCTCAGCGGCTGGCGCAGGCCAGACTTCAAGACTGAGATCTTGACCATTCTGCGAGGCTTGGTGAGTACGATATGGCATTCTTTGCTGACCCCAGCATGTACCACTGTGGACGTCATCAATTCTGACTCCGTCCTCAATCCATCTCCAGAAGATTTCCGGAGCTCTCACCAATGCCGTATTCTTCGTGTCCTTCAATCCGGCACCGACGCCGACCTCTCCCTCTATGTCGCCGATGTTGACTCCGTCCATGCCACCGGTAGATCCTTCACATCCAACTCCATTGCAGCCTGATCAGTACCCGCCAACTCTGCTCCTTCGTATTTATGGACCTAGCACCGACGTACTCATATCAAGAACAGACGAGCTTCGGATCCTACATGTTCTCAGCACGGTCTACAGTCTCGGCCCTAGAATTTACGGAACCTTTACCAACGGTCGTGTGGAGCAATTCTTCCCATCTCGAGCTTTGACACTTAAGGAGGTACATGACCCGGTCATCTCTCGCGGCATCGCTCGGCGTATGCGTGAACTGCATTCAGTGGATTTGCACTTGCTTGGCTATGGACAAGGTCGTGAGGGTATTCCCATGGTCTGGTCATGCTTGGAACAATGGCTTGGTCCCGCTCAGTCCGTACTTATGACCTTGGCAAAGAAGGATGCAGTTTGGTCCCGGTGGGTGGAAGAGTTTGATCTCCCTCGTGCAAAGGTCGAACTGGAGCAATATCGACAAAGGTTACTCCAGGAAGGTTCAAGTCTGGTCTTCTCTCGTGAGTCGTCTCTCACCGATGTGGCCGGCAAGCTAACAGGCAGATAATGACGCCCACTGTGGCAACTTACTTCGCCTTGACGTGGTCCCTCCCAACCTACCTGACCACCATCGCGTGAGTGATCCGACATCAGTCAAGCTAACCTCAGTATGTGGTGATCGATTTCGAGTATGCCGCACCAAACCCTCGTGGGTACGACATTGGTAACTACTTTCACGAGTGGTGCGCCGTGCACCATCATCACGCGATGACTCCATCCGCCCAACCCCGCCTTCCCTATCCCAACGCTTCTGATCGTGAGAACTTTTACCGGGCGTACCTATCCCTAGACATGAACGCAAGCAGCGGAGATGAGGTCCTCGGACGGAGAGGTGATGTGAGCGCCACCAGAGTGCAGGCTCTCGAGCGCGAGGTGCTCATGTGGAGTCCGGCATGCAGTGTCTTCTGGTCTGTATGGGCCATAGTGCAGGCGGAAGGACAAGTCAACGCACTTATCGAAGGGCGAGAGGAAGAAGTGGATTACAACTACTTGGTGAGTGCAACTTTGATATCCTGCGCTCAATCCAGTCGTATGCAAAAGAGCGGATGGGCATGTTCCGGCAAGAAACGAGAGCTCTGGGAATCCTTGCATGACCGCGGCTTTGGCAATGAGGTGACCCATTCCTCAATGCACCCGTCGAGCGGCACCTCTCGCACCTGCGCCGCTTTGTAAGACGTCGATAGCATGCTCTCGCCACGGAGGATCACTTTGGTCAGTAGACTGAACGGGAGACAAGATTCATGAAAAGTCCAGTTGCCGGCCCGCGACGTATATAATTTGAAGAGATCTCTTGAATGTATATAATCATAGAGCCACATAGTATTGACCCAATGCGTTGGGACTTCCATCCGCGTTCGCCAGTCCATTCCCATCCGTCGACATCTTTGGAAAGTCACCGAACCAAGAGTATCTCTGGACCATGCTCGCGCCTTCGCCCTCGATCCAGTCTATCACCGTCGTCATGAACGCTTTGGCTTGGTCGGGGGTGCAGACTTGACCGCTGGAGTAGTCGGTGCAATCCCACTCCGTCAACCAAAGTGGCTTGTTAAAGGTAGAGTAAAAGTCCTGTCGTCAGCTAGGCAGCTGAAAATCGATACTCACTTTTGCATAGGTGATTAGATCGTCTGCATCGGTACCGTAGAAGTGGAAAGAGACAATGTCGTACTTGCATTTTCCAGCGCAAGCCGTGACCCAGTCCTACGTATGAGCTTTGCATGAGCCGTGGCGTGTCGCGCACTCACTTGTAGCCACTGCTTCCCGCCTCTGGCGACGGCTGGAGTACTGATGAGGTATGAACCACCGAGTGTAGTGACCCAGTTTTGATGAGCCGTGGCAGCATCGCCAGCGGATATAGCGGATCCTCCGACTGACGAAGGCTGATCGGCTGAGAGTCAACATTCGATTCTGCGTTACAAGATTGATTGACACTCACGCTCGTTGAAGGACAGGACATATTTCGTACCCGCTGGCCAGCTCTTGGCAGCCGCTGCCAGTCCACTTGTTGACCCTGTACCCCAGACCATGGGCACAAACTCCAAACCATCGGCTCCTGATCCTGTAGGCGACAATCCCCAGTTATAATACCATGATAGCTTTGATCCTGACACTGACTTGAACGCAGACAGCTGTCCCGAGCTCGAGTCGACGGCGAGACCCACCGCTCCTCCTGCAGCCCCGCCGCCGCCGTTCCCACCTCCACCGTTTCCACCTGTCGAAGGGGCCGAGGGCGGTGCAGCCGCCGATGACGGGGCAGGTACTGGAGAGACTACGGGAGTGCTGGCTACCGACGTGGGGACGACTCCGGAATGTGCACCCTGCGGGGCAGGGGTATTTATGGTGGGTTGAACGGCGGGCGCCGATGATGATGAGACTTGACCAAAGCCGTGATTGGACATGTGCTGTCCGTTTCCAGCGGCATGAGAGTGGGTGCCGCCGTTTGCAAAGGCTGCTGCGGCCGTGACGGTAGAGTTATGACGAGTGCACGCACGCCTGACGGGAGAAGCGTGGGTGAGAGATAGAAGAGGAAGAAGAGAAACGAGTGTGAAAGAGCGCATTGCGTGAAGCTGGGACCGGCAGCGAGGTCTTGAAAACGGTTGGAAATATAGACTGAGGAAACAAACATAGAACCAGTTCAGTCTTTATCCTTTTGAACTGACCGGGAGTACAGGGATCCGAATGGAAATTGGGGGTCGGACAGCAACAACCTTGACCCGCATCTTGCCTTGCCATCCGAAACGAGAATCTCGATCTGCGGGCTAGACCCTTGGAGTGCTCACGTTCAGGGGTCACAAGCATCATGTTGCATTGATTGCACGGGGCCGATGGATAGGATGGAGGTGTTTGAGGGGTAATGGGAGAGAGATTGAGAGTGTAAAAGGTATCATCAAAGGGAGAGATGAAACCGAGATCGGCATGTCGGAAGCAACTAGCAACAGAAGTCAGAGTGCACGGGCCATCGGCCATGGGCCAGGCTGCGGGGCTCCACTGCCTCCACTTTCACAGTCACGTGATCACCCTTCCCCTTCTCGCATCCTCACTCAACTCGGGTCTTAGGGGATGCTCAACTCAACTCACTGTATATCACTGTATCACGCCTCAACTACCCCTTCCTTTGCGTTTGTCGGGTCATGAACAAGTGGGCCCCCATAGCTCCCAATAAGCCAGGACAACCCTCCACTTCTCGTTTCACCTCGGTACTCAAACCTCAAAAGCCCGGACACAAACCTCAAGTCGTCGGTGCCGCCTTGGTCGGTCCATGGCCCGAATCTGTACTCACCCACATCATCACCTTTCTTCCCGTTCCCGACTTACCGCAAGTGGCCCGTGTCAACAGAGCCTTTGCGCGGCTCGTCAGGGATGACTCTGGATGGGAGAAACGAGCTCGGCTCTTGGGCCTTTCACCTCATAGATCCAAACCTCTCATCAAATCGCCCCAGAAGCCGTCGTCGGGAGCTCAACAAGACGATGAGTTTGGTGATTTCTCAACGTCCACAGATGTCTTCGAGGACATCGATTTTGGAGACTCCCGGACCGATCAGAAATCCGGAAATGACCTACTCGACTTTGCGGACCTCCCACTGCCTTCCAAGCCTTCTGGTCAAAAGGCCACTGGTTTCTTTGCTTTGACACCCCCAGCTTCTATCGGACCAGGTCCATATCTGCTCGCTTACAGAAACCATCATCTATCTCTGCTACCATCATGTCACCATCTTCGATCATCTCCCTCCCCAAGCTCAACGCTGGCGCTTCTATTCCCTCCATCCCCCACCACCGCTCTGCCTCCTTCCCTTGCCGAGCAATCAAATGGTCTCCTCACTCTGCTTCTGTTCCTGTCACCTCGACTGCAACCCTTACGAGACTGGGGCTTCTTACGACAAGCTTTGCTCTCAGCTGCTGACCGTTTTGACTCATCCTGTTTGATGGCCTTCGAAGTGGCTGACAGCAAACAAGATGAAGCAGGTATGCGACTCGCTGCGGAGAGCAGTTGGAAGGTTTGGGATGCAGGAGGAGGGCGACGGGAGCAATGGGAATGCGGCAGAGTATGGGTAGAGAAGCGAGAAGTATTCTACGAGACGTCTAAATGGGATCCGTTGGAGAACATCGTGTAAGTCTTTTTCATTCTGCAAGATCGATTTGACACTCTCAGCAAAGCTCAGTCACCCAGTGGAGGGACCGTTCGTCAGCTCGACTTCACCCCCATGGATGCTTTCATGTCTCATGTTCTTGAGACATTCCGCCTCGATGCCCAACTGGCGGTCCGAGTATTCCCATTGTCCGCAAGGGTCGTTCTCTCTTTCTGCGAACGAGTCGCCAACGACGTCATTGGTGAATACCTTCAATCACTACTGTCACAGGCAAGGATAGTATCTCAGGATCTCTTCCTTCAGGCCACGGCGGCCACATTCGTCCAGGCTTGGAAGCTCGTGGATGTGGCGATGGAAGTTCTTGGAGACCAGCAGACATTCATACCTCGTACAAAGATAGAGGATGTCGTGTGAGTCATGCGTGATCACTACTTTTCTAATCTCAGCTACCGCATGTTCGAGGTGAATATGGACGAGTATCTCGAAGAAGAGACAGAAGCAGTCAAGCGGCAACTGGATAGCGTTTGTCAGGCGTGGGATCAGCAGGTGAGTTGAACCTTCCCAGTTATGTAACGTAGCTGAGTGCAGCTCGCTGGATCCGAAAAACCGGCTCAGTCCTCCAAGCCCACCTTTCTGTCCGCCTCAAACCCAGACCAGGTCAAACGCAACGTCCTTGCGGGATTTCGAGACGCGCTCCTCCTTCCCGTGACTATCGTGCCTCGTACAGTGACGCTAGGTGTCAATGCCATTGTGACGGGTGGAAGTCAAGCAGTCAATGGCCTGTCCATGCTCAATCCTCAAAAGTGGGGTGGTGCGAATGGGCGTCCGCAGCTCGTCAAGCAAGAGGATGGCGAAGTGCTCATGGAGACTTCGGTCGCTGAGGACGTCAATGCCTCTGAAACGACAGAAGAGGTTCTTCCACCCCCGTCGTCGCAACCTAACGGCAAAGACTCCTCGCCTACGATTGCCTCGACCGACCGCAAGGCTTTCGACCGCATGCAGCTCTTGGTGTCTCTTGACACGGCTCTCGAACTCATACACGCCGATCGTGATTCTCTGAAGCGAGCAGAAACTTTTGCCAAGTATCCAGGAAAGTGTGGGCACCGTGTCAGGGAGACACTCGAGGAGATCTTCATCCTACTTCTCAAAGCTACAGGGGATCGTCACATCGCTCCAGGATTTAAAATGTAAGCATCCATCTTATCTGCCTTGTGATGAGATTGATCAAAGTGCAACGAATCAGATGCGGTCGTATCGCCCTGCCGAACATTCCGAGACTACGAGCGTTGCTCCTCTCCTTCAATTCTTCGAGCTGGTGCATGTCGGAGACACTGTCCAGTCCATGGTGCAAGTCTACTTTGACAAGGAGCTGGCCCAATACGTGGACAGGACCGACTTTTTGAATGCGGTGATGCGAGAGAAGAAGCGTTTCGAGGCGGTGTTGGACGACGCTGTAGCCGCCGGTCTGAATGCCGGTATCGAGGTCCTCATGAATCAAGTGAGTGTGTCCGGTGCATCGCCGCTGACATCAGGTCGAACACATCATTCTGGTCAAGACAGGTCCTCGGGAGTATTACCCGGTGGAAGGTACACATATGGAGCTCAAGCCTACAGAGGGGTGCCGGGAGGCAATAGCCTGTCTAGAGATGCACTGTAACCTTTTGAAGGGTAGTACCTCCAAAGAGGTCCTAGAAGTGTTCTATCAAGAGGTCGGGATCCGACTGCAAGCGTATGTTTTGACTTCCATGACAGAATGGTATTCATTGACTACCAGGATCCTGCAAAGGCATTTGAAACGACAAATTATATCACTTGAAGGAGGATTTCAAATCATCGCCGACCTGAACGCTTATCATGCTTTTGTGGCCTCTCTGAAGCAACAGCGCATCACCGAGGATTTTTCCAACTTGAAAATGCTGGGACATGTGTACATTGTGTCGGACGCCAAAGATCTGGCTCAGATCGTGCGGGATGTGACACGGTATGGAGGTACATTCCGACCTGAAGAGTGAGTGTTTAAACCCGAGGTGAACACTGACAGACCAGCATCTACGAGTTCATCCAGAGACGGAGTGACTGGAAGAAGATTGAGAAGACGGTGGACAAGGTAAGCGAGATGGGTCTGGGATGTGTCACGACTGACCATCTTACAGGCCATGTACGCTCTGTCTGTCAAGGAGGACTGCGTGATCATGTGAGGGCTAGTGGTGCGATGCTGGAGCCTCACACACGTGTAGAGATAGTAGTTACAGGTGACATAGGTTGTAGTGACGAGCGATATGCGAAAAGTCAAAAGTCAAAAGTGATAGAAACCTGAGCGCGTCGTGGTACCTTAGTTACTCGTAGCTGTCATCGGCCCCACCCCCAAGTAAGCCCTCCATCCCACATCTCCACTTGACTTTGTGACTTCAGTAAGATTACCCTTGTTCTCCACTCTCATCCCCACTCTCTCTGTCTCACCTGACCACTCCACTACTTGGTGCTCACTCGTCACCTTCACTTTGACTACTTTTCACATCCTTCCCTTCTCCCTCAGCGCTCAACTCATCATCATCATGACCGCCACTCCCCCTTCCACCATCAGGCTACCACCCCCGCCATCCCAGTCCGAGCTGTTCAACTCAGCTCTGGCCACAGACACCCCATCTGATACCCCTAACAGCTCGTCTTTCCTCCCAGGGCAAGTTCCTTTACCCAAGCCTCGACGCAAATCCGCTGGCAGGAGCTTCTCCACTGTGGGGCATGGCTACAGTAGTCATCGACGAGTGAGCAAAGCCACCTTCAGAGGTGTGGATGACTTCGTCGGCGATGCAGACGCTCTCAAGCTTCCCACTCTGGTCCCAGGGATCCGTCCCGCCTACTCCACCCCTCTTCCTGTCTTACCCATGGTTGTACTTTGCATCGTGAGTCACTGATATCGGATCGACGACACGTGAACTGATCGCAGGCCATGCTCTCAGAGCTCCTGGCAGCTAATCTGTGTACCCCGTTCCTGCTCAAGATGGTCGAAGGTGGATGTTTTCTCTTATCCACTTGTGTCTGGGAGCTCACGGTGCAGGCTTCTTCCTGGACGCTGGGAAACCTAAGAACAGTGAGACAGAAGCAGCCGTTGGCTTGTGGACAGGTGTGTGTGTCTAACAACAAGGCTCACTTGCTGACAGACAGGAAACCTCGTATCTGTATTCTTCATCACCCAGTTTTTCACCAGTCTACTCTGGTCTAGTATTGCCGACAAGCATGGTAGGAGAGCTGTCATCGTAGCCAGTCTAGCCGTGAGTTTCACCTACGGGGACCAATACTTCCAATAATAGCAACGACTGAGACTGATGTGCAGGGAAGCGCAGTCGCTCTGGTCGTATTTGGCACGTCTGAGTCTGTGAGTCACGCCATTGAGACATCGCATCTCTCTGACGAGTAGCTGCCCGAAGCGATCTGTGTCCGACTCGTACAGGGCATATTTGGAGGTGCAGTGGGGGTGGTAAGTGTCACGCTCATGTTCAAGGAGGGGGACAGTCACTGATGGCAGTTCCGAGGATCCATCCGAGACTTGACAGATGACACGAACGCCACGCGAGCATATGCCGTCCTTGGGTTTTCATGGGGTTTTGGAGGTGTTATTGGTCCTGTGAGCGACGAGGTTTCTCAAGCCGTATCATTATTCTCTGACAACATAGATATTGGGTGGTGTCTTCGAAAGTCCAGCCGACAATTTCCCAGGCTCATTCCTCGGTCGCATTGGATTCTTTCAAACCTTTCCCTACCTCCTCCCCACCGTCATCGCTGGCGCTCTACTTGTGACTGGATCCATCTTGGCTTGCTTCCTATCTTGGGATGGAGGTGTTCGAGGTGGTACTCGCATCGCACTGCCAGTGGAAAAGAACGAACCTCTGATTCCTCAAGATCCATTACGCCAGCCCTCGCCCGTGCCGTCTCACAGGACTGCAGTACCTTCAGTCAGGGCCAAACGCAGTGTCTTGTCGCCCTTACCGGATCCAGAATCGGCAGCGTATGGTGCGGGTTATCCAGGATTGAACGTCGGCTCCGTACCACATGGTCGCCGTGACAGCAGAGCCAGCTTGGGTACCGCTTACGGGTAAGTCGTATCTACAAGTGTGAGCTGACATCTGACCGTTTCAGATACGGAGGTATTCGATCCAAACACCCCACTCTGGCAGCGAGAGCAGCATTGGAAGCAGCCCGACGCGTATCCGGCGCCCCGAGGCGTTCTTCAGACGCCGGGCAGGACGAGCCAGAAACGTCGGAGGAAAGTGGTCCCCTTGGTTTTGCGCAGAAATTGCTGCTCGGTGAGTTGTAACATATAACCTTTGGCTAATCGTAGCCAACGAGGAAAACACTTTCAACTTGAATGACCTATGGTTATCAGCGGCCGTGGCTCAAGACATGGCCGTCTTTGAGGACGACGACGCCACGGTGGAAGAGAACGAACAGGATGAGGACGACGATATGGAAGAGCCATTCGAGACCACGCCGCAACCGTCCCCAGCGCATACACCTGGTTCTCAACACCCCGATAGCATCGCCCGACGGAGGTTCACCCGTGGCCGCATGGCTAGTATCCAGGGATCATTAGGATACCGTAGCGGAGCCGCTCATCGACTATCCGTCTCGCAAGGTGGTAGACGGTTTAGTACCAGCTCCGGTCAAATGCCCTCCATCTTCGCAAATACCGGCCTGGCATCACCTCCGCCCATCACAGCGATTCACACGGACCCAGATCTGGCTTCACCTAGCGGGGGTGATCCCTTCTTTCAAAGTCCGGTCCCCGAACGACGACAAGCTGGTCTTAGTGTTATTACCGAACGCAATGTCAGCACTACAGAGGCGTCACCTCTGTTGAGCCCCGCTGCTGAAGTGACTGACAAAGCCAAGGGGTCAGCTTGGGGTGCCCTGCCCTTGATGGTGATCCTGCAGGTGAGTCGTCTGGTAAAGTCCATCTGATGCGCTGACAGAATAGTATGGACTGTTGGCGTTGCACAATACGACACACGACCAGCTTTTCTTGTCATTCCTTGTCTCGTGAGCGTATCCTCTCTGCTGAGTCAACAGTCGCGCTAAGTAACAGACCCTATCGCTCAGGCGGCATAGGTCTGAATCCCGCTCACTTTTCCCTGCTCATAGCCCTCATGTGCCTCTGCCAGCTGTATTACCAATTTTACCTCTACCCCCGGCTCGGACCCCCTCTAGGTCGTTTCTCGCATCTTCAGATGTTCCGCCTGGGATGTTTCTTGTACATTCCAGCTTATGCTGCTCTCCCTCTGCTCCACGCATTCGCAAGCGAGCAGTCGGGTGGGAGCTTTATAGTGATGACCCGTGAGTCCCTCTGACTTCTGCCTATCTTGCTTGCTGACGTGGACAGTTTTAACGATAATCACGTATGTACAGAGACACTGCCGGGTTCAGGGCGTGCTGACTCGTCAGGGCTGTACGATACTGCGGTGGTACTTTAGCCTACACTTCGATTATGGTTCTAATTGTTGGTCTTTCCCTTTTGTCGTGCTGAGTGACAAGTGACGAGATAGAATGTCATGTCCCCTCCTCATGTGGTCGGTCTCGCCAACGGGCTCGCTCAGAGCGTCGTGTCATTCTCACGTTTCTTCGGACCAGTGATTGGTGGGGCTGTCTGGAGTGCGAGTATCAACGGAAACCCTGCTGGCTACCCCATCGGCTTTTACATCGTCGCGGCTGGCTGCTTGTTGCAATGGTCACTCTCTTTCCTCATCCGATGAGCTAGGCATAGCAGGACGATGACACGTGACCAAGTCTTGTTTTGTATCTTGTGGATAAATGGATATAATGTGTAGTCAGAACATATGCAATACACGACGTACGACCGTGGTGTCTGGTGTGTATGGATCAGCATCGGTACGAGCAGAGTAGAGTACGGGTAGTAGTAGTAGTAGTAGTACCGCTCGTATTCTTATTCTTCTAGTATTTCAACACAACCTTAATTTAGCCACGAGCATATGACATTGTGATTTTCGTAAGTGTGCAGCAACTCGCAACTTGCAGTTTCGTCATCAACACATAACCATCTCTTCTTGTCATCATGAAACAGCTCATCGTCTTTGACTTTGACTGGTCCTTTGTCGATCAAGATACCGACAGGTGGGTGTTTGAAGTTCTCTCCACAGAGCTACGTAGGAAGCTGCAAGAGCGCAAGTCATCGCAAAACACAGGTATCCAATGTACACCCGACGTCGTGTATGTCTCTCTCTCTATCTCTCTCCACACCTTGCTGGCAACCAACACTTCGCTAATACAAGCAGGGACCAGACCATGTATGATCTCTTCAAAGCTGGATTCACTCGTGAAGATGTTTCAGGTGCTTTACGGATACTCCCATTCGTCAGTCGTCCTGATAGCAGAACATAAAACTCACTCACCCTTCAGCATCCCGCTATGAAACGTGCTGTTCTTTCGCTCAAAGAACGCTCACCGGAAACTACCTTCATCTGTCTTTCCAACTCTAATGAAATCTACATCGGCACTATACTCGCGGTAAGTTTTGCTACCCCTAGCCAATCTCGTCGTTTTCTTCATCCGGGAGGCCCAAATGCAGTGGGGCGATGTGCTCCATACTAATCCAATAGAAACATGGCCTCACCGACCTGTTCGATGTCATCATCACCAACCCAGCTCGCTGGGACGATCAACACCCAGATCTCATACACGTCGGACGTCGTCTTCCTGCCTCCTCTCCGCCACACGGATGCTCAGTAGGCTGTCTGGCCAACATGTGTAAAGGGGACGAGTTAGACGCTTATCTCGCCGCTCACGGAGGTCGGGATAGTTTTAAAAGAATAGCATATGTGGGTGATGGCGCAAACGACTTTTGTCCTTTGTTAAGGATGCGTTCTGGGGATGTGGCGTACGTTCGCAAGGGTTTTGAATTGGCGGAGAAGGTCGTACATGAGAAAACGAGGGAGGATGGGAAGAAAGCAGGATTGAAGGTGGATGTGAAATTTTGGGAACAAGCTTGGGAGATTGACGAGTGAGTGGATGTGTATAGAATACTCTTGGAAGGTACACTGACGTGCGCAGATACTTTCAGAAGTTATGACTGTGGGACTTGGTGACCAAGTCCAGTATGGTCAGAAGTCGTAGCTCGTCGTCCCTCAATGACAACGATCGTGATACATGATTAGATGAGATATTTTGCATAGTTGCATTTTCATATCCGATACCCTCCACCTTGACCGCTGGCGTCATGTAAAGCACTCCAGACCCCTCTGGCGGATTCTCCTCCAGGTGCAGCCTCCAACGTGAGGTTTTTCAGATGTTTCAACTTTGAACCGGAAGTATCGAGCAGGAGTTTTACCTAGACCGTCAGTTTTTACCCTTGAGAACCAGTATTGATGCTTGTCACCTTTTGAGCGACCTGATTGGTCTCCAATCCATTCACACATATGACCTTGTCCCTCCCGTTGACTGAGTGTCAGCCATGGGCACAGGTGAGAGATGAGAAAGACGGACCGTAATGACCTCGAATGACTCCTGCTCGACCTCTGCGTAATTGCCGGACGACAATCTCGACATCTGGATTCTCCTTGGCAAGTTGAATGAGGGGAGTCTTGAGATACGTTCTGGTGGTGAGTGATGCTTAGACGATACCTGAGAGGTTTGAGAGACTCACCTCAGACCATGTTGAGATGGAGAGAGGGGGTCATGGTCTAATACGAGACGTCGGAGTGGGGTGAGATAGTGATGATAACCCTGTATCGGGACGGTCCTAGGAGACAGAAGGGAGGTAGGTATGACCCGTGGCATGTCGAGGGAGGTGAAGGGGGTTAAGACCAACCCTATAGTGAGCACGGGGTAGGTAGTAGGGTAGTGTGGGTGTTGCTGGTGGATTGGCTAAGAGGGAGGGGGGAAGAAAGTGAGATAATGATGTGGCAATTGAAGGAAACCATGACGGAATCAAATGTATCATTGTGATTGTGGGAATCGGATGAAAATTAAATGTATGGGCCTGGCCAAAGGGAGCGTGTTGGCACTCGGAGCATTCGGGTCGAGTGCGAGTGGGAAATGGCTGTGGGCTGCAGGCAAGGGCAAGGGCGATTAGGGGGACATGGGACAATAGCTCAAGGCTCAAGGCTCAAGGGCCGAGGGGGGAGATGCGGCAATAGCAGATAACATGGTAGCATGGTAGCATGTAGCATGTAGCACCTACTGTAGCACCTTGAAGCAAACTTTGAACAGCAGTAACTTGGTGGTCGCACCATTCCTTCACTTGATAACATCTATCTTTCTTTTTCATCCGAGATCAATCAATCCCTTTGGCAGGGATTAGCTATAGTCAGAGATTGCTTTGACCGGCCGCTCTGCCTGCCTTTGATACCATCGACCACGCGAGTTTCCCGCCTGCAGCCAGCGGCTAGCAGCTAGCAGCAGCTTTTGCAAACATGCCTTGGTACAACATTCATCATCCACCACCTTCTTCCTCCTCCACCCCTTCCTCACGTCCCTCTTCACGTCCTCCCTCTCCCACCACCAATCTCACCTCTCGCTCAGCCGCCCCATCTCTCTCACCCCCACCCAGACGTGACATCCCTATCGATCCTACCGAGCCCCTCGACGATTACTTCTTCTCCTCCGGTCATCATCAACAAGATTCTCTCCCTCTTCCCGTTCCCGGCTGGCAGACGCTCGGTACCAGCACCGTCGGCTCTTACTCGGCCGTTTCGGATATGGGACCAAGCATCTCTAACCCTGCCACTCCAGCCGGAAGCATTCACGGAGGTGATAAACCTATAGAGATCAAGCTAGATGCTGATAACCTCGTCATGAGAGGTTATGGATCAGAGATGAACCCTGCCTATCTGTCCGGAAGGGTCGAGGTCAACCTGCTCGAAGCCACAAACGTCAAAGATATCAGTATGCAGATGACATGCAAGGCTAGAGTACAATTCGTCGATGTCGTTGGGTCAGTTCTCTCCCCTATCTCCCATATGATATGCTGACTTCGTTTTTAGAACGTCCACTCGAAGTCATCACTACACACACAACCTGGCAGTACATGATTGGAGATTCTTAGGAGGTCGTCAAACTCATACCATGAAGGCCGGTCGACATACCTTTCCTTTTTCTTTCGCCCTCGAAGGAACTCTCCCATCATCCGTCACGACCTACAATGGCGACGCTTTTGTCATGTATCGACTCAAGGCTACCCTTGCAAAAGGCGGCTTCGTCACTCACACCATTCACGCAGAGAAATCCTTTACCGTACATCGAATGTTTTCGGCCGATGCCTTGGAGTTCACCCAGACTTTGGAGATTGAAAACACTTGGCCGGGAAAGGTCATGTATTCCATCTCGATCCCTTACAAAGCCTATGCAGCAGGTGATGACATTCCTGTCATTGTCAAGTTCATGCCACTCGCCAAAGGCATCAAAGTCTCTCAAGTCACCACGGTTCTCAAAGAATACTCTGTCATTCACAGCAAGCATTCAGCACATTCCGATGTCCGAGTCATTTTGACTGCCAAGCACAAAATAGTCGATGGTCGTGCTGTACTTGTATCCAGTACCGATGATACTAGGCAACCTACAAAACTACCATCCTCTGTGACTTCTCAAGCTTCTTCCGTCAACAACAGCGCCGCTAATTCTCGAGCACCTTCACGCAGTTCAAGTCCTTCTCGCACTCCCCAACCGGCTCGTGCGGCCCTGCCCCGATTTTCTGAAGCCACACCCATGGCACAGCCTGCCCCAGTCATGCCTGATCAGCCCGTACCGGGACCATCGAGCCGTCCTCACCAACCTCCACAAGAGGACGCCCAGGACGTCGAAATTGGTGACGATGAAATCAATACTTCTTTCTCTATTATCGTCCCCGAGTACACCACTCCAACTCATACGATCCACCCGATACTCGTTCAGCACAAAGTTAAATGGTCTTTTTCTATCACCAATCCAGACGGTCACGTATCCGAACTACGATGTGCTTTGCCCATCATCATATTGGATAATTCTCTGCTGGACGAAGCCCGAGAGGCGGGGGCTAATACAAGAGCGCTACTGGTAGGAGGTTTGATCGAAGACGGTCAAGTAAACGATTTACCAAGCTATAATAATCATGTATATGATCGTATCGCCGTGGCAGACTCTGGCTCGACTACTGAATACGTACCCCGATCACGTCACCAAACACCACACCATTCTCCTCAAGATACCCCGCCCGCCAGTCGCTCCCCCACTCGACCCTCTTCCGTCACACGTCATTCGTCCTACACTTCTGATTCCGGAACAGAGAACCCACCAAGACCTGCCCTAGACGAGAATATCGACACGGAACTTCTTCTATCGCTCGGGGCACTAGGTCGCGTCTATAATCTACCCCCAGGAGAAGGATCACCAGGCCCGATAGCCGATAGTCTTCCGACCAGTCGCCGAGGCAGTCGGATATTTGGTGGTAGCCGCAATTCCAGCCGAGCACCGAGTCCAGAAAGAGGTGTCGAACCTGCTCGACAAAACTCTGGACTCACAGGCTTTCTTAACCTTTCCCAAGCTTTCCGACATCATTCTGGATCCGTGCCGACCAAACCTATCCTTCGCAATTCCGCTGCCCCTCCTGCTGAGGGGGTTCGGCGTAACGCCACTTCGTTCACCAATATGCAGATGGCTACAGCTCAACCTGCAGTCCCGCATCCCGCAAACCATGTGCAATTTGCCGGGGAGGCACAACCGAGAGCCCGTTTCCATTTTCCCGGAGCGGCAACGCCCGATGAAGAGCAAGCGAATCCCCTCAATGTCGTCCCCCCATACGCCGTCGCCTCGCGGGGGTTCCTTGGAGGAGGGGTGGTGCCACTGGATGTTGGTCTTCCTACGTATGACGCGTCGGAGAGGCAAGTAGAGGAGTCACGTTGTGTCAACCCTCTCATGAGACCTCGAAGTGACACGGCGCTGGTACAGCTCGGGGCGCGAGCTGCGATAGAAGCCGAAGAACGTGCGACGGAGGAGGCGGAGTCTGTTCAATCTTAGCATCTTCAAATCTACGTTCCCATCATTCGTACAAGTCATGTCCTACAATCCATCGGAAATTATCATCCCTCGATACCTCGATCAAGTATATCACAAGTATAGAGACCTATGCATTCCTACAACCTAGTCTATATCAGAAATCAATCTATACCAAACGTAGTGGCAGCGTCAATTGGCCGTATGTCAGCTTGGGACTATGACAGCCTGAGGCTGAGCGTCGAGAGACACCACTTCCGGGCTGGCCGTGCTCGATGAAAACTCGCTCAGGTCTGGCTTGACAAGTGGACCTGGTTGATAGCAAGCTTTACGCATAAAATCAAGCTGTGTTCGGAGGAAGAAAGACTGTTTGGTTATGTCGGTGTAGAGGTTGAAAGGCGTCGAAAGTTCGCAGGTCATGTCGGCGTGGATGGAGATGATTTCGAAATTGGCATAGTCGCGAGTCGTGGGAGAATGGTAAAGTGAAAAAGAAAGCACATCGTGAGCTTGGAGAAACACACATTGTACAAGAAAGATAATTACATGTACGAGGGAATAATATCTCCAATCTGACCATGGGAAAGTGTATCTTGCCAAGCCTGACAATTGCAGCTTTGTTGGGTCTTGAATAACCTGGTGACAGTCAGCATAGCTCATAGTTACTATTATCTCTCCCTTTTCAATATGTTCCTTCTTCCGCTAGTTGCGTGGGCAGACACCAACACACTTGCACACATCTTGCACTGACACACAACGTTGATTTTACCGAGACATGAACAGGAGCCATGGAGGTATCCTTGAGAGGGAGGAAAGTCTGAAGAATCACCACAACCCATCCTACTCACCTCATTCTTCACCTGAGTAAAAGCTGCCACCCTATCCGTCAAAACGGCTTTTATCCCAAAACTCAATGCGACCCTCATCTCATCTTCCTTATTCACAGTCCAAACGCATACCTCTTTCCCACCTTGCCTACAATCTTCCAAAAACTTTTGACCCTCGGCGCCCATGAGAACGGGAAAACACATTGAAAAACCTTCGCATGCATCCCAGAAGAACTGACGGGCGATGGGGATCCCGAAACCTATGTGATATCGTCTGAGAAGAGGGAGATGAGTGTACGCCGCTCGGAGGAAAAGAGGATGCCAGAGACCGAGTATTATTCGAGGAGCGAGAAGAGTTTCCCATTGGTCGTGATTCCTACAAAGTCAGCTTTCCCTCTTCTTACGAAAGAGGCACCACATGACAACCCCTCTTTACCTACACCGTCAAATATCTGAAAGGTATGGCACCTATTGAGCAGTCAGGTTGTCGGTGGGTTGGTGAACATGAGGAGAAGAGAAAGAAATTAAGTTCAGGACAAAGACTGACTTTATGATACGAGCCATTTCAGGCTGAGAATCAGCTCGAGGATCATCATGAAACCAAGGAAACATACGAAAAGCCTCTCTGGGTCGTTCTGCATCTTACAATCGACCTAATCCATGAGCCCTTACTCCACATTTCTCAGCTTGTTCCTATTTGCCATGCAGAGTCCCTAGAGGATCATCAAACTCACATTGAGCGATACGTGTCTATTTTGAGGCTACCGGTTAGTCTTCTTCAGTGATCAAGCCGTTGGAAGGCTCACCTCCATCAGAAGTTCCACCAATTCTTCGAATAATGGTATTGGCTGGATAGGTTCTTTGATAGTTCTCACATGTCTAATGGTCAATGACACCCGGCTCCAAGGGGCATCATGAACACGACCCATACTCACTCTATCACTCCTTTCCATGGTTGAGTCCTGATGAGCCCTTTACCCGTCGTCGTCCTCTCCAAAGTGGGATCGTGGAACATCAACACCACTCCGTCCGATGCAGCATGTACGTCTGTCCGTCAGTCTTCCTACATATAGGCATGCGCTCAGGTGGGAGACAAATGACTGACCAGATTCAATACCATCTGCACCTTCTAATATCGCAGCTCTAAAGCTTGCGAGGCTGAGAGCGGTCAATTCCTCCATTCATTTTTGAGCAAGAAAGACCCACGTATTCTCAGGTAGATGGGCAGAGGCACCTCGATGTCCCCAACATTGTATATCCTTGGGCTGCCTGAATGGGATTTTCTTCACTACGGTAGTCATGATATATATTCTATGCTCTAGTTCGTGGTAGATAATGAGAGAGGGAAAGAGGGACCAAAGAGGACTCTACTGGGCGCCGAGAGTGTATGAAGCTACCTACTGACTGAGCGCCCGTACACGCCAATCAATCCGGTGAGACTGAAGAAGTGGAGCAGTCTGGGAGCTGATTGCTGTCTACCGTTCCTCCCTTGCCAACGAGGCTCTGTGATGCTACGGAAATACCAAAGTCTTTTGTAGCAATAGGGAGAGAGAAAAGAGGCAAGGACACAAACGTGATCACTACTGTTGGCCATGGCCGAAGACCGAGGCGGCTTCGTCCCGGTTTATCCGGAAGGAGCACTTTCGTCCATCACTCTAGTCCTACAGAACATCACTACGAAACCTTTTCGTCAAGCATACCAAAGATTATGATGCCTCGTCACTGCCCTTCACGTCCGTCTCTTCCCCATCACTAGCAGCCCAATGCCCACCCACGTGTCCCAGCCCCAATCTGCCCCCCTTGGTCCTCAAGAATCCCACAACCTCCTTTCCTCCACGTCTGCCGACGGGCAAAGGTCGCTCCCACTCGAGTCGCTCCTCGTCCTCCTTCGAGATGTTCAACACTTCGCCTCCGTATGACTCCGCCAGCCATGGAGATGAGTAGAGCTCGCCGTCGGTTTGTTCTAGCTGAAGGAGAACATCGGCCAGTTCTCTGGCGGCCTCGAGACGGATGCGTAGCACGTGTCGAACGAGGACTCGGGAGGGGAGTCGTTTCGGGCGCTTGTACTTCTCAGGAGTCGCTTGTGGTGGCAAGCCGGCAACTTTGGGAGGATCCGGGGCGAAAAGCGATGACGAAGCGATGAAGGAGGGCAAAGGCATGTCAAATTGTTGAGGAAGCCACAGGCCAATCAAGATACGCCACGCAGCCACGAGCCGTTTCATCCTAGATACTTCAGCAACTATAATCATCCATAAGAGGGAGCACGTACGCATTATAGTTGGGATCAATCAATGCTGAGTGGTATCTGCCAAGAAGCCACACAAGTCCAGCCGCTAAAGCCACGCCGAGGGTGAATTGCCGGAACATGGCCCAGAAGGTGAAGAACAGGACTGGGTATGTGAGGAAGCTCAAGATCAGACCAAATGCAATCTTCATCTGCGCTTGTGTCTCGAGCTCATCCTCTACCAGTCTCGCACCGAGTACTCCAACAATATACACCGGTAGATGAGTGAGCAGGGGAACGACGAAGAACGGGAGTTGGACGGCCGCGACGAGGGAGTCCTTGACGAGCAGCCACAGAGGGGAAAAGCGAGACGGGAGAGATATCTTGAGAGATGGGTCTAGAGTTTGAGGAAGAGGTATATCTGTCAAAGCAGAATTTGAAATCCGGGAAGAAGTGAGCAGTCTATGGTAAGTGGCCAGTAGTGCTTTTAGTTTAGTGATGCGGTCGTTCGAAGTGGTCGTAAACAGGTCCACAAGTCTGTACATCAGCCAAATGCATGAGAGAGCTTACCACGGAAGACTCACGTCTGAGAAACGTCCACGAAGTCCGTCAACGCCAAGGCGTCTTCATCTTCCCATAATAACTCTCTGGCCATTTGCGCCGCAAAAGCCGTTTCCCTGCAGACGTAAGCGGCGCGTTCACTCCAGCACACAAAACCTCACCAGTCAGGAGCGTTAACTGTCATTTTCCTCAACTCGATCTCAATGGTCCTCGTCAGGCGCTTTACAACGTTCTTAGCTATGCCTTCTTCTGGGCTTAAGAACTCCTCTTCGTAAGCAGCCGTTTCAATGGGCCGGCCATAGCTACGGATATGAGCTTGATACCAGCGCTATATGATGTGGGAACTGACTGCACAACTACTTTACTCCGGTAATGTGACTTGTCACTGTACGCTATGCCCACTGGTACAATCACTGCCTTCTTCCCTGGCTTGGGGCCTCCGTTTTCTTCTGTCCCCAAGAGATAACGTACATATTCCAGGGCTGCCCACGACGTTCCGTCCTTCAGAGGAATGAGATGAGGTTCAGTGTGGGATGTTCCCTCTGGAAAGACCCCGATACATTCGCCCAAGGCAAGCACTGTGATCTCAGCCCTGAGAGACGTAATCGTGAAAGCTGACCTTCAAAAGTACCTCGGAATAGCTTTTGATTGTTCTTGGTCTTTCTATCGACGGCTGGCAGATGAGCACACAGTGCGGTTTGAAGGGTATAAATGGGGTGAGCTCACGGATGTTGCCAGCATTGAGGAGGAGGGCCCCAAGGGCTGGGTTCTTGAAAAGAGAATCTTTGACCTAGCGAAAGTATCAGTTGTGGTCAGAGGGATCGGTGAGAGCTCACCCAGTAATGCAAAGAATAGCCGTGGGGAACGGTTGAGCTCAAAACCGACGGCTAGTCGAGTCAGCTACGATAAAAATGGGTGAAACTGAGCTACTCACGTCCACGGCCATATTGGCATGACTGCAAGCGCTACGATGTGAGCCACCCGAATCAAAGATCGAAGACTCGCCATAGCTCACAAGATGATGGGACCTTCCTGGGGTACATTGTCCGAGCCGTAGACCTCGATGCGTCTGAAGAAGGAGGCGATAGCGGAATGAGCTAGGAAGACGAGTGGTTTGTGAGAAGCTCCGAAGGGCATGTTGAGGATGATGATACTGCAAAGAGGGGGGGTAAGGCAGCAAAGGAGGAAGGATAGATAGGGGGGTGACAAGGGGGGAGAAGTAAGAGGGAAGGGGGAAGGGGCCAGAGGGGAGAGGGCAGAAGGGAGAGGAGACAGCCGAGTGAGTGTCCCCACAAAGTCAGGGAAGCGGAGACGACGCACAGACCCTCGGTCCAATAAGGTGCCGGGATTAATTGAAATTAACAATTGGACGAAATATTCCTCTCAGAATTTTGAATGACCACCAGCTGCTGAAAGTCTCATCATTCAAACAAAATGCACAAACTAGAGCCGAACCAGCAGTCTGGTGAGAAGATCTGCAAGTATCATACCGCACAAACAGCTGACTATCACAGCTCTAGACGCAGCCATCCTCTCCTACTTGGTCAACAGAGGGTTCACCAGGGCCACAAAGGCCTTCACTCAAGCTACAGGTTTGAAGCAAGATGATACTGCCAAAGATCTCTGTCACGCTTGGGCAATCTTCACCTCTTCGTCAGTATCCTTACTATTTCCACAACCATCAAACATGCTGAAGAGACAGAGCCGCATATCAATCACTCTCAAGCTCTTCCTCTTCCTCCAGTTCCTCCAGTTCCTCATCCGACTCCTCTTCTGAAGACGAAGATGATAAAGAGAATGTACCCGTCACTGCCGTCTTACTTTCAGCCGTAGAGTCTGCCACCAGCAGCGCGACTCTCGGACGAGATGAATTGGAAGGTGTTCCCACTCTTGATCAACACGACAGTGATACCGAATCAAGTTCTGATTCAAGTTCATCTTCCGATACCTCCGATTCTGACTCGGAAACAGGAAGTGACACTGAGACCGAAAAACCCGCACGCAAAGCTCACGGATTCTTGGATTTGGAAGCTGAGGAATCGGACGAAAGCGAAGATGAAGATACTGAAAGTGAGGAAGAGGAGAGTGGAGAAGAAGAGTCTTCCGGTTCAGATTCGAGCTCATCCTCGGAAGAAGAGGACGAAGTGGAGGGTGACGGAGAAAAAGACAGCTCGAGCTCGTCCGATGAGGAGGAGGAGGAGGAACGACCTGTCATAGGACAGAAACGAAAAGCTCCAGCCCCTTCTCCCCCGACGTCGTCTTTTTCCTCTTCCTCCTCTTCTTCATCTTCATCCTCCTCTTCCTCTTCCTCCTCCTCCTCTTCCTCCTCCTCTTCCTCCTCCTCCTCTTCTTCATCCTCCTCTTCGGCCCCTCCTCCTACCAAAAAGCCCAAACTCTCCCCCGTCATTTCGACCACCGTGACCATCACCGAAACGCCTGATCTCGGCGAACCAACAGCATCCTCTACCCCACAACCGAAACCGAAGAAGATCACATTCAAGAAAGGTCCCAATCAGCGATTTGAGCGGATCAAGACTGAAAGCGTGACGTTTCACCATGATGGCCTGAAAGACAACTCATTCGAAGCGAGGGTGAGTCATACCTGGGTCCGCTGACGATAACTGACACCATAGATACGTGCTGGGGCGAGTGAGAATGATTATGGAGCCAGAGCGAGTAGAGATCTAATCGTCACCCGAGGAGCGGGCTTTAGGAAGGAGAAGAACAAGAAAAAGCGAGGTGTGAGTGAATCACTCCTCCACGTCATTGATCTTTCATGCAATCACAGAAACGAGTCACACCACTGAATTTGCAGAGTTACGCAGGTGGAGAGATTACCCTCGAAACTCACAGCATAAAATTCCAGGATTGAAGTCTCAAGAGCCCACAGCTTCCTTCGATCTCCCATATCCCACAGTTCCTTTGACTCCGGCATAAATGCATATAGTCCACCAAGTTGAGAGTGCGTCGGAGGTGAAAATACATATCAGCCATCACTTGTAGATATGCATATGATGTCTAGTTCACAATGGATTTATTGCAGGATCACCTGTGAGGGACGAGGAGAAGCGACGCCGTTGATGCAAGTTTCATGTATGACGTTGAGAGCTTTGGACGAGTCTCGACCGAGGATGACTATGCGTCAGTTTCAAGCAAGACTGTCACAATGAAGAGTTGAGTAGGGGCTCGCAGTTAGGTCAGGGAGGTGGCGGACAAGCCGGCGTCTTGAACTGAGGGCTGGGTATGACGGAGACCTGTACTGACCACATGATATATTGATCTCACTCGCACCCTGTGAAATCATCTCAATGTTTATCCCCGCTCCAGCCAAAGCTGTAAACATCATACCCGCACATCCAACGGCATGTCGCATGTTCCTTCCTACCAAACTCAGAATAGCCATCTCTCTCGATATCGTCACATCCCCGATTTTTTCCAAATCCTTCACCAACCTATCCAGTCGTTTCTTATTATGAAACTCCTGCATCGCCATGGACACATGGACCTCTGAAGTACTTATAAGATCCACTACCACCCCCGCTCGATCCAGAGTTCCAAAGATACGGGCAAGGAAACCATGTGATAGAGTCTTTCGATTGGAATGTATGTTGATAACTATGATATGATCTTTTATAGTCACTGCCGTTGGTACTTTTGAAGCCTCCGTCACTATACCTCCCGCAATGGGAGCGACGAGACCTTCATCTGGATATATAATCGTTCCTGCTCCTGAAGGATTTTCGACGTTTTTGATCCTTATGGGGATACGAGCGCGGATAACCTGTTCCATGGTGAAAGGATGTATAACTTCAGAACCGTAATAAGTAAGTTCGGCAGCTTCGTCAGGTGTGATGACTGGTACCAATCTTGCCGAAGGAACTTTACGAGGATCGGCAGTGAAAATACCGTCAACTTCTTTCCATACTTGTAATTCGGAGGCTTTAACTCCTACTGCACATAAGGCAGCGCACAGGTCTGTGTAACCTCTACCGATTTGAGCGAGGAGAGATCCAGGAACCGGACCAAAGTAACCTGCACGACTGTAAGCTGTAGTGAACGGTAAAGGTAATGGCTCACCTGTGATGACGGGTACTCTGGTACCGCAGGCTCGTATACGTTCACCCAACCTCTTGGCTAATTGGTCGTAAAATTCTTGACTGAGTTGCGCTGCACCTTGATCGCCCGACGTCGCCAAACCACTTTCGGTGACAAAAGTGACTGTCGCGTCGACTATACTATCGAGGCAAACGAATTCGGAGTCGACACCCTGATATTATTGACTGTCATTAGATGTCGAAGGAGCCTCAAACTTACCTTATCTCTCAAAGCAGCGGCGACAATTTTACATGCTAACCTCTCTCCGGTACCAATAATCGAATCCTGACTTCTTGGTGAGATTTCGTCAATAATCTGATGAGTGAGCTATCACACACCTCTGCTCTTCCCTCATGGGCAGCTCACCTGAGCGGCGTACAGAAAACTACGAAGACTCTCACAATCTCTCTCAATCTCATCTTCCAACTCATCTCTCATGGCTCCAGGTCTCACCGCTAGCCTGGCAGCATCCAAATGACCTTTCTTCAAAACATCGACCGTTTCTTCAAAAGCCGGCACATCCCCGCCTGCTCTAGGAGATCGCGGACTGATGGGTGGAGATCCAGATCTACCTCCGCTGGATATGAAAGGGGATGGGGATGAACTTCTCAAATCTAATTCTCTCAGCGACGAGATGGAAGACATCAAACTGGCGCTCATATCCCTTGTGACGCTGGACTCCCTTTCTCTGTCTCGATCACCGAAGAAGCCCGAGCCTACTCTTTTAGGGAAAAAAGGTGTTTGTGTGCCGGACGGTGCAGGATTGGGTGGGAGTAGAGCTTCTTTAGAAGCTTGAAGAAGAAGGTTTGTAGTTCCGAGGGCTTTTGTGTGTGATGAGCGAGCAGAGCAAACGAGGGCGACTCGATAATCAGGAATGTTGGATCTGTGTGTGAGCTGAACGAGTCCGAGTACAAGATGGAATGACTCGCTGTACTATTCCACAGATACTATCTAGGAATTTCCCAACCGATGTGCCACCGTACTTCTGAACGACCCATGGGACTCTCTCATCTGAGGAATTCCGTAGAAGGTCATCGGGGGTTGAACTGGTGGGTGTGGAGCTGGAAGCAGATGAGGAGACCATGATGTGGGAGATACAGTGATGATGCTGGTGAGAGCTGTCTTTCGACCGGCTCGATAAACACTAGCAATCACACTGTACAGGGGGTGTCAAAAGTTTTCGGACAGCCGGTTCGTCCCGGGTAATGACAGGGACAACTTTACTAATCAAAACCTATTGCGTAGAATATCAATCAACGATGGCTTGTCCGAAAACTTTTGACACCCTCTGTATGCTTTGCGAGTTGTAGCTAGGATGGTAAGATACAGGTTGAAAGGAAAAGCAGAGGGAAAAGTCGAGCACAAGGGTCGAGTCAGTCGAAAATGGTTTCAGGCACCGGCTGGCCGGTTGAGAAAGTCACGTGACCCTTTATGGAGGTGCCGGGATCAAAATCTGGCTGACCCTTTCCCTCCTTCCTCAGTCGGGCTTGAGATGACTTGAACTACCTTGACTCTTCACCATGGTCTTACCTAGAATTATACATGACTCTTCCCCTCATGATCCCCTCCTTCTCCTCCCACTACCTTCTTATCTTCCCCCTTCCCCTCTTCCAGGCCTCCAACCACTTGTCGACGCCCTCGTGACCGCCATCAATGACCCTCAATCTTCCTCCGTGGGACTAGGAGTGTTGGCAACCCACATGCGACGGATAACGAGACATAGTCAGATATTGCTCAACGCTGCTCGGGCGGGCTCTTCTGAGGCGAGGGAGAAATTGGATAAGGGTGATGTGGAACTTAGAGAAACTGAGTATGAAAGGGAGAGGGTCAGGGAGGAGATTGAGAAATGTATGGATTATGCGTCAGTCTTTTTCACATGGCCTCTATGTTCACTCGTTCCCTGATTACCTACTCTATCTTATCACTTGGCCTACATCATCCGTTTGGGAAGAGCGCTCGTTCAAGCCGTGACTCGACGAGAGTAAACAGCTCACGGTCCAGACCCACATACAAAGACCTACCCCTTCCCGATACCGACACATTCCTTTCCAACGCAGATCCCGATATACTCAAGAATCTTCGTGGGTTCATCATCCATCAGGCTGAAAGTAGCTGACAGGAAGCGAATCCAGACGATAACTCCTACCCTTACGCACTCACCACAGCTCGATTAGAACAAGAACTGGCAGATGTCATCAAGTCAGTTCGGATTTGAATTTGGATTTCAGCTGACTGTCTAGACTTGAGGGGCAACTAGCTCAGTTAACAAGAGATAGGGAAGCTGTGATCAAGGCGAAGAAAGAGATAAAGTCAAAGTTTGATGCTGTTGATGTTTACTTGACCGACTTTGCAAAGGTGCGTTCGCTGCTTGATACCCTACTTCTCCCTATAACCCCATATGAGTACGAAAATGACGGTCTTTGCCCCTCTGTTCCTCTCTATGTGACCGTTATACTCTTCACGGAAAATTCTTCATGGAGAGCATCATGGGTTTTGGGATGCTGACTAGTAGACCACAAACGCAGTAGCCAGCAAAATCAAAGATGTGGCCAAAGTCCCACTTCCTTAACCACCAGTCCTTCACAACAACATTTCTTCGACTTTCAACTCACCTCTCCTGTGTATCAGGGATGTTGATTTTTCACAATGGGCCCGTTCATGATACGTATCTATGCATACAATGTAAAAGATGCTCAATCTATTTTCCTGCTCTTGTCATGCGTATTATCCCTGTTCATCCTTATCGTGTCCAACGTCTCTGATGATCTCCCCGCTCTTGGATGTAATTCCAAGACCACCTCTTGATGTTGAGGTGAGCTCGCGGCTGATGATCTACGCGAGGAAGAGAAGCCCGATTCGAAAGACATCCTCGGGTTGTTCCCTCCATTCCCGTTACCCATACCCAGTCCGTTGGGAAGATATGAGGGTGTGTGCTGTGTGGGAGACGGTATGGCGAATAAGGAAGACAATCTCTGTGCGATCCCAGACGTGGAGTTGGAAGTAGGAGTGAGGGATAATGAAGAGTACGAAGGTGGTCGTATTCGGACAACATTGGGTCGTGGTGGTTTAGGTTGTAATGGTCGAGGGAGAGTGTGAAGGTCATGATGAATTGAAGGACCCAAAGAAGTGGTAGATAAGGATGCGGCACGACGATGTTGTTTTTGAACGTCTTGCGATGTTGAATGTGATTTGGGAAAGAAACGAAGCTGAGAGCTCGGTAATCTAACGACGTCTAAGATTCTAGGTGTTCTATCTTCATCTTGATCGTCCACCATTTTCTCGACTCCACTTCTTCCTCCACCTGAGTCATCTAAACCATTACCGACCACATCTCCATTACGGCTGCCCATTTCTAGATTTCCTTGGAAGACTTCGGCATCTCTGAAATGGTCCTCATTGAGAGACATAGAAGATTGGAGTAAAGAAGGACGAGAAGGACCAGCCTTTCGATCACCAGGTGAATCGGACCATTCTTCGTATTCGTTCAAACCTTCTATATCAGGTGTCATCTTGACATCCCCATTTGTCACTTCGATCTCGACTACCTTTCCTTTCCCTTTTCCATTCCCTCGAGCTGGTGGTATGTCACCAGAAACAGACCTGTCGAGAAGAAAGATGGGCGCTGAACGACTTTCGCTGAGATTGACATGTGGATTTCGCCGTCGGTCGGATTTGGGCTTAGCGATCATAGTCACTTGACCTTCTCCCGGACCACGGATGAATGTTTCACTGGCTATGTTCCATCTACAAGCTTCCAGTGGGACGTAGAGGTGGGTTCGGAGATGGACAGGATCCGATGGCCAGAGCTTGTTGGTTTTGCGTAGAGTTGATTTCTCAATTATTAGTTACACAGACTCATCGTCCTCCGAGCGAGTCACAATCGTCCGGGCTAAATACTCCAAACTGTTACAACAGGACGGGGGAGGAGGAACGATTGACTTTTGAGATGATTCGGGAATTCGATTCAAATAGATGTTCGACTGAGTGATACCCGATAGACTCACATCGATCCCATAGAGTAACGCTATTCCAGCTAGCGATTCGGTCGGTTTGACCTATATGTCAATCACCTGCCCTTTCCCATTGACAACCTCTTTTCCACACGCATACCCACAAGTATCCTTTAGTTCATTCTTATTTCGTCGATTATCTATGTCCAGTATATGAGTCGCACTTTGTCTCCACCGCATCTCTCATCCGTTACCCATCATGTGTCTCTCCGTACCAAGGACATGATCCCTTTGTATGTTCGTCGTGGAATAAAGAGACAAAAGACTTACACGATGGACCAAAACTTCCACCTCATCCCCACCTTCTTCCAAATTCATTCTCAATAAATCAAAACTTCCTCTTATACTTCCTTCACTTTCACTCTTACTACTCCCTGCCATCTTCTCCGCTTCACTTGTCAACCTCTTCAATGTGGGTCTACTCTCACCTTCCTCATCGTTGCCCGATAGAGGATGTTCTAGGTCGTCTTCCCTTGCGAGATCACGAGACAGATGACGCTGTCTTCTTCTCAGAGATCCATCTGATCGAGGTATACCTATTTGAGGTTGAGTCGCATCGGTGAGATGGTTGGGACGGGTTGAAGGTGGCCGTGAGGGACCTGCTGACATGATGTGTTGTTGAAAGGTTCATGGGCTCATATTTGTCGCACTTTTTCCTTCAAACTATCAATCTCGGAAATGGATAGACACTGTGAAGAGAGTGAAAGTGAGATAGGAAAAGATGTAAGAGGTTGTGTTGAGATGTCAAGATGGAAAGAAAGATGATTGATGTGATGGAAAGTCAAGGAAGCGAAGTTGAACTTCGGTTAAGTTGAAGTCTCTTAACATTTCACATTCGTCTCGTCCTCCTGACTACTGTGTGTCTCTCCTTTCACCCCACTTCAAAGGATATCAGTGATCAGTAACGGTCACACCGGTCAAGAGCAACTCGCTTGTGGCTATTAGCAAGGAGCAAGCACCATGGTGAACCCCTATCTCCAAATCGCATACCGTCACTCACCACACAGCCACCAAAACAATCCGATATAGTTCATGTGACATTCCACTTTCAACGATCCGCTGTCCTCCTCTCTCTCCCGAATTCAACGTATGTTCTCTCCCCATCTTTCGTCCAGACATTTGCTGATAAGAAGGACTATCTCTTCACTCAGAATCAAACTTCTCCCTGCTTTGAAACCTCTTTCATCTGAAATACCCCGGATGCCTAAATCAGCGGATGATGTGGAATTGTACGAATTGAAAAGCCTGAATCCGGATGAAGAACCTTCCTTAAGAAGTCTGGAAGATGATTATACAAAAACTTTGAGAAGTTTGGGATGGAAGTGGAAGACTGTTATTGTTGGGTAAGTTAAGTCAAATCCACCAATTCCCCCCCCGCTTAGCCTCTCCACTTTTTTGATGTGTTTCTATCACCTTGTAGTAATGTGGTCAGTGAGCAGTGATTAGACCGCGAACTTTCTCATGTGGTCTCACTCTTGTGATCACTGTAGTCCGAAGCCGGGCAATCACTCCAAAGTCATGGTCAAGAGCTGAAATCTAGCTTCAGGAATGAGCAAGGTGATTTCGAACCACCTCAACATACCCTACCCTCTTTGGAAGAAGAAGAAGAATGAGCACCTCTCCCTCTCATGACAACAGACAAGTATAGATAGATTCCCCCCACATCACACACCACATGACATGCATTGTACTCAATCATCCATATCTGCGTCCTCTTCTTCTTCCTCGTCCTCACCTTCATCCTCGTCCATGTCAAAAACCTGTACAATCCTCCCATCGCCCATACTCACGCAACCGACTCTTCTACCCTGTCGACCATTCAGTGCCAAAGCCGGTCTCTCCTCTTCCTCTTCTGCCACGGCCGTCATGTCGAGAGGTCTACACCTTGCCAATGGTATAACGGCCAACTGTCCATTAGCCCTTGCTCAGGTCATGAACTACAATGACGCACCGCTGTGGGGTCCAGATGTAAGTTGGCCAGGTCGGAAAGTGTGCGGCCTGGAGGAACTGGAGCTAATGACTCTTCCAACCCCGGATACTCCATGGTAGCGAGGTATCGTTGTGACTCGCCGCCTCTGTTAGCAAGGAGCAAGACCAATTCGGTGTCGTCGAAGAAATCCAGGGCCAAGCAAGAAAGTCTCTGCTCGGTATCGGACATCCTGAAGGCGGTGGCTCTACATGACCCATCGGGAGCTATGGCCACTAGCCAAACTACTGAGCGTGGACGAGGGACTAGGCATATCCAGGTCGTCTGCCATATGAGCAATCAGCCCCGGCGGGACATGAGAACTCACATCTCCGATCACCCTGAAAGTGAGCAAAACATTTCCTCCTGGATCCTGCCACTTCTTTGTGGATCTTAAAGGACCAGATTTAGCCTCTACAGCGCTTCTTATCAATCCCTCACACCTCTCAACGAGACTTGTAGCCCATATCCAAGGTTCTGACTCAATCTCCCGCTCGATCACCTCCTCGCCTTCCTGCCGTCTGTTTTCAGGGTCGATCGAATCCGGTGAAGACGCCCTAGTGGAGATTTCTGCTTCGGCTGGTGTTGGTTCTGGCGATGACAAAATGTGGGAAGAAGTGAATGACTCTTCTTGTGGCATAGGAGGTGAGGCAAAGATGCCTGCCGATCCCTCTGGGTGATGAGAGAGTCCTTGAAGGGTAGTTTTGAGCACATCCTTCAGAGAGGTTGAGGAAACCGACGATTGCGTTGATGCCTCGACAGGTAGAGGATCGGAAAGTTTGGTCGCTCCTTGGGGGAAGTAGGGGGAAAGAGTAGACCCTAAGAACCCATGAGTAAGGAACGACCAAACGGTTTTGACGTCATATGTGGTTGAAGGGAGGGTGTCCGTATTGGGATCGTGCGAAGTGGTCCGGGCGATCTCTACGAGTCAGCTGGACTTCTACATGTCAAGGTAGTAGGCAAGGACAGCATGTGAGCCAGACGATGGCACTGACCATACTTCAGCCACTTGATAAAATCCGCCGAAGCCAGCATCTCCGCCTCCGCCTCCTGTCTTATACGCTCCACAAGAACGGTCATTCCGCTGGCCGCGTCCAAAGTTCGAATGACGCTAGTCTTATCTATCTCGGATGAGGGACTTTCGGTCAGTAGGGTTGAAACAGACTTACATGAACTCACAGTAAAGACCATCCTCGGAGCTCTTCAAGGAGCAAGATGAGGTATTCCAGAGCAGGGGTGATACTCTCCGAGATGACCTTCCCAATGGCTTTGAATCCAGTGAGAGCGGACATCTCCCACTTCGTCACTGTCTAATTGGTCAGCAATCCTACTAACTAGTTCGGCAGAGATGACTCGCCCTTCCGGTGAGCCGATTGCCGAGCCAGTCACCAATGGCAGCTCCGTGTCTACCCGTCATGAGCAGACGGAAGAGGTCGGCGTGGACATCGTCTTTCGTCACTGTTGATGAGTTCAACATTCCCTCGATTCTGATAATAGTTGCGCACAAGACTACGGGGAAATTCTTGGCGAACCGACCATGTCATCATATTCTTCGGACCGAGAACGAACATGCAAGGTTGGGAATAGGGAATCTAAGCCTGCACTCACTTCCTTGTTGATCACCACATATTTCGAGCTCTTCCCTCCAGATGACAGTCTGCTTCTCGGCATCTCTGAAAGAAGCTTCAGCAGCTTCGACACCTTTCAATACGACATCCAGCAGTTGTGCCATCTTATCCGATATCCGCGCCAGAAGCAGTAACCTTCCTGATGAAGAACCAAAGGGTACGGGGAAAGTTCCGGTTAGTAAGGCGATTTGACATGTGCCTTTTGGAGATACGAGGTGAAGGATGTCAGGTGGGATGGGGGTCTGAGAAGGTAAGAGTGCCGGGAAGGTGTCAAGTTTATGATGAGGGCCCAGAGTAGAAGGGTCAACGATAGGTTTGACCAGCATGAAAGGTAAGACGCTGTACATCAGTTGGCCTATATCCCAAAACGCTTGTCTCACTCACTTTTGTGGTTTTGGAGGTTGAACAGGAGTCACCCTTGGCAGAGACCCAATCATCATCAAGCTTGACCCCGGTTTATCCGCAGGCCAATCTGATCTGCCATCCTCGCAAGTCCATGTCATGTCCCACCACCTATTTCCATCCTCCAGCTCCTCCTTCTCCTCCGCGGAGGCCTGAAGAGATCCGATGAGTACCACCCGCTCAGTCCTACCATCATGGACTGACAGATGATGGACCTTTGTGGAATAATCTTCTACTCGGACTGTCAAGAGGGAAAGATGCAATCCTTCATCATGAGTTCAGATACACACCAGCGATGGCATGCTCACCGTCCAAGCTCCATACAAGGCCAAAGATTCGACCCTCTGTCTGCACCTCCCACACTTTACTACCCGTCATTCTCCACAGGCTCACTTTGGTCTTTTCCACAGAAACTTGCTTTTCCTTCCCTTTGAGGGACAAAGGCGACGGGGAAGGCGGGGAAGAGAGAAGGACGACGAGGTCCATGACTGGGTTACATGCTGATGGGTGGAGTACATTACTACTAGATAGGTGCAAGGTAGCTAAAGAGAGGAAGGAATGAGTGTCTGATATCATCATGGTGGTGACTGCAAAAAGTGGGTGGTTTTCGCCGACGTGACTGACTTTTGATACAGTCTTGCAAAGTGGGGGTATCAAACAAGTTTCGCCTACAACCAAGAACTTGAGTCAACTGCAGTCAAACATCAACTGCTTGACTATAACAGCTTGTATGAAAGCAAGGGAGCAACTGTAACATTCAATCGCCATCCTATTTAGCTACTAGCTAGATGATAGATATATCATTTTGAATCCTGTACATCATCACAACATGTCATCTTGTCCCGTGTCTCCTCTTATGTCGACGGTCTTTCCCTCTATCTCTCTCTGATGGCAAAGTTCTAGACCTTTCCTTCTTACCCTTCTTTCCCCCTCTGATGCTCAGCTCCCTCTCTAACTCGCGTTCCAGCTCTATATCACCTCCACCTACCACCTTCTCCTCATCTTCGACAGTACGTCTGACAAAGTCTTGTCTCCGTCGTTTCACACGTCGGCGGAGGGTGATGATGAACACGAGGAGGAAAAAAGCAGATAAAGTCGATGCTGCGGCTCCGACGAGAGTTGTACCGGTTCTTCCATCAGCCAACACTCAGCTACTAGCAGAGGATGAGGACAGTAGGAGTGGATATTGATGGGAAAGGGAAGAAGACCTACCCTTTGATCACGGTGTAGGAGCCCAAGTTGCTACTGAGTGATTTCGCTAAACTGCTGTCGATTGCCCACTGCGGATCAACAAAACATCTCTTGTTGCGAGAACAGACTTACGGCGACACAACAGAAGACGGTGGCGAGAAAGTATGAACCTATCGGAAGCCAACCGAGCTCAGCCTGTGGTCAATGAGGATTCAAATCGGGTATGTCTCTCGTTCAGGTCTACGGTATATATCGGCTGTCAGGGAGACAGAGTTGATTCTTGAGGCAGGAAAGCGTGAATGGTTTTAGAAGGAAAGACGTAAACTCACAGTTCTATCTTCCTTGTAGTACCTGTGCCATATATGCAGGAACATCCACACGGTGGCGGATAACACGAAAGGCATCGCTGATAATCAGCTTCCGGATGTTATTCTCACCAACTTTGAGACTTACCCAGCTCATTGACGACTAATCCATGAATCAAACCAGGGCTGAAGTCTCCGGCTGTCAAAGATCCAGACCTGTCCCTAGTCAGCTTGTTCGCGGTAGAAACACAGCGAACACTCACGGTAACTTCGCAGAACCGATGAAACTTTGCATACCCCACCATGCGTCCGTATCCGAACAGGTTGGTCTGAGGTCAGTCCTTCGTCTGCTCTTCCCGGCTTGAACCGACTTACGTATCATCGCCCGTTGACAAACACCATCCCCACACACCCAGCGTCAGATATCCGCCCACGTTGGCAGTGGCAGGTATTCCCGTCACTGCCAAAATCTCCCCTCTTCCTTCTAATGACGTGGTGACGCTTTGATTATTCGTCGAAGACTTTCCTGTGGTGGACTGTGCAGCTTGTAGCAAAGGTTCGTAAACGTCACTTGGAAGAGAAATCCTAGCGATGCAAAACGTATTTCGCCAAGACGATCCTGAAGCGGTGATGAGTACCATCAAAGTACAAGCCACAGCCAATGGTAATCCTAATAAACCCATCCAAAAGATTTTCGATGCCGTCCATTTCCCTTTATCACTCTCGTCGTTATTAACCGGAAAATGAGATCCACTAGAAGCGCGGGTGATCGGATCCACGACCTGCGAGGTTTCCGTTTCTCTATATGCTGGAGGTGGAGACGCCGCGCCTGAACGTGAAAGATTGAATAATTCTTCCTCGAGATCTTTGGCCGATGTTCCTTTTCTCTCTGGCGTACGGTGGGATCGTATTGATGAACCTGAAGCTTTTCTCTCATTACGATCTCGGGTCGATTGGGAGGACGATGATTTACGGGTAGGTTCACGATACGAGTCCTTAGACATCTTTCGGTCGGGGTGACGGGAAGCCCCAGGCATATCGACGTCTAGGATGGATCAGTCGTGATCTTCGTTGAGTGTGTAGCGCTGATCTGAGCAGTGTATAACATGACAAGATGTTAGAGGGATTGTGAGGATAGAAGGTGAAGGGGGAATGTAAAGGAGGACGAAATGAAAGGATGGATGAGATGAGACATGTCAGAAGGAATATATCGCGTGTGTAAAGGCATCTCTGCCGTCTCACTAATCTCACAACTGACTCGTTCACTTGCAAGAGCTGATAATAAACAACTTATCTCGTCTCACTGATCGATGATCCTTCACTACCATTCTAGACACCGATCACAACTATTCCCCCTACCGTCACCCTCTCACGACCAGAGAATCTGGCAATGTCATCGCCATGGCCGTCGATAGCATGAAATGACACGAGTATGTCGCTCCCATCACACAAAACTATGCCCGACTGACCATAAAGCTTCATGCTCGTTTTGTTCTACGCCTCTGATTGTCCTGCAGCAGCCTCTCTATGGCTTGAGAGGCGGTAACATTCACAGCCAGCCGTTGTATCTCCTCGACCTTGGAATCCACGAATCGTGAGACACTTCCTCCGGACCCCTGACATGAGAAAGTAGTATCAACAACCGCTTCATACGTTCTAGGTCCAGTCGGGGTTGTGTCCTCCAAGATGCGGGCGTACTCTATACCGAGTGTGGCTAGGTATCTGCGAGTGTTTGGAACGTCTTGGTTTTCTTGACGGTGATCGTCGAGTAGCCCAAATTCAAGATTTGTCTGGATGTCCCAGAGCTGATGTGTCTCAAGCTTACCACTTGTAGTCCCTGGCGATTGGAGGGCAAGCGTGACCTGGAGCATTAGCAGAGTGATCGATAACGAGAGTGCAAAATCTATATCATGACGAGGTGACTTGCCGGCGTGAATGTTTAGAAGGAGGAGAGGGGGTTTAATTTCTCCACTGGAGGTTGAAGGAAGACAACGAACCTGGGAATGAAACATCACATCTACTTGCTCCGTCTGTTGACTTGGTTGAATGATAAATTGACTTGATACCGCCCACTGTATCACAGTGCGGTCGTCAATGACCTCTTCCCCTGTCAAGGGCAGAACGGTACCTTCCTTCCCCTGCAGTCTCCTCCTCAGCGCCCTTATGCCGAGGTTGAGAACTTCTGTGAGATCACTGAGAGTACGGCGATGGTCGACAACGAAACTCATATCAGTAATGCGCCGATTAATCGCAGTGTCACGGATCCACAGTTGTCGAGTGGATGTTGTCAACCGGCAACGAGACGACTTGTTGGGGTAGCGATAGTGGGTAGTTGGACGTAGACTAGTGAAGAGGTGGGAAGCTGGAAACTCGGGGAGACCAGAGGGTATATAGTAGACCTGGTCTGAGCGGAGCTTGGTGTAGCATGTAGCATGAAGAAGGGAGCGCTATGGGCCTGGAGTTCAGTGGGTTCAGAGGCCGAGTGGGAAACGTTAACCGGTCAAAGAATCATTCTTGAGAAGTGAGGTTTGTCTATGATAGAAGTACCGATCCTCAAACGTTCGAGGAGGACATGAATAGTAGGCCTACCTGTTGTTCTACGGCGATGACAGTCTATCAGATCCTCGTGCTTTCGATATCGAACAATGTGCCGTGGCTTTCACGGTTGCTGAGTGTCTCGAGTCTTCATACCGCAAACGACCGGTCTTGCGAAGATATGTGGAGCCAGGACCTGGAAAGAGGGATCAGTGTGAAAGCAAGATCACTATCTAAGTATTTGTTTCAATCATAAGCCATTCTCCGATCGGCTAGGTGTCAGAGGGCTTACAAATGACAAAATGCAAACGATTAGACAATGTATGACCTCCAGCATGTCACTATGAGTTCATACATATAGAATGTCAGCAGCCGTGTTCCATGAAACCAAATCGACTAATAGTCGGTACGATAATTGGTGATGCCTTGGACGCCCGCCGAGCACACTGTATCAACATCAGAACCTTGATCATAAGCCTCACTCAGGAATGGATTCGAACAAAGAGTCTGCTATGTTGGAGAACGTAATTCCCCGCCGTCTCTTGCCTGCCGCATAGCACAATTGTAACAGTAGTTCCAGGACAGCAGCATCAAGACTGCACTGCTCCCACCACTCCCCCAGGTCGAGCCGTGCGATGTCTCCAGCTACCTGCTCGCTGAAGAGCATGCTGTCAGTAGGGGTAACATCCGCCCGATATTGCGTGGCGGGATGTTCTTTGGACAAGAGCTCGACGTATGCTCCGACCGTTGCGGCCTTCAATTCCTCAATATTCCAGTTACACGAAGACTGGTGGATCCTTCGTCTAGTATCTCCAATAGACTCGTTGACAAATAGACGCAGTCGATACTCTCTCGGCGATCCTGTGAAATCCACGGGTTGAATGGTCTAAGTGAACTGTAGTTCAGTTAGCGACGATTACAAAGAGACCGATGCCCGTATTCCACCCTCGTTTTCTCCTCTCCTTGCCACTTTCCCTCCCCTGTCCACTTTTCTGTAGCTTATTCACGACAGCGATCAAAAAGCCGACACTGTCATAGAGGGGGTGAAGAGGACCGTCATCATGACACACCTGAGAAAACACCGTAATCTTCACTCGGCCTGTATCATAGTCGAAGCATCTATGGCACTTATTGGTGGCGCACCATTTGAGCTTGTCGGTTTCGTTGACGGTCTCCTCGCCCGTCCAGGGCGGTAACGGGATGTGGCCGGTCTTGTGACTGTCCGGTGCGAACTGGAGAGTGCCATTGAGATCATAATATAGAGGAAACATGATACGAGCGCCTTTACACCGGCAGCAGCGAGCGAAAGCGGCAGGTGTTAAAGATGGGATTGATCGAGTCGAGGGAGCGACGGTCAATTTGAATGATTGAAGGGCGGATGGGGGGGATGGGGGAATGGGCGATGGGGTGAATATGCTATATGTGAAGACAGTTGGAGCAGACACGACCGGTCAACTGGAGCAGGTTGGGGTAGCGGAGGATATTTGATTTGTACTTGATGTTCGAACTAGACAGGACCAATCGGGGAGATGTTGGTGTGAGACAAGGGATGTCTCTCGGTCAGACGGTGCCATGGAAGCTCGAATTCACCTTGTTTTGAAGTGTGTTCTTGGAGGGGGTGAGAGCCGAGGATGATCTGGTAGGCAGGGAAAGGGTGAATACGTAAAGGTAGAATTGAGTTTTGTCTTGCCTTCCTGTGCTGTCTAAGTCAACTGAAGAGTAAGTTAGAGTACTATAGTTGTAGGAGAGACAACCATTGTCTTCCTCGCCTCCGTCCAAAATGACCATACATGGCCGACGCCGAAGGGCCGAATAAAACAACTCCAACTGAATTCTTCTTCCACTTTCTCCTTCTAACAACGCATCTCTCCATTGTCACCTCTTGTAAACGGACATCGCCCCAAGCATGGATGTCGACGCCGAGATCGACGAACTCCTCTCAGTCGGTGGTTCTCGTAAGAGGAGCGAACCGGATGTCGAATCTGATATAGAGGCTGAGCTTGACCCACCTTCTGAGGTCGTCGAAGCGGAAGGGGAACAACCTGTCGGGGATCTCGAACAAGGTGTACAAGGGTCTGGAGAGGTGAAATGTTTGTGGGGAGAATGTGATAAGACTTTTGAAAAGGGAGAAGAGTTGGTTCAGCATATGCATTCGGGTGAGTCACTTTCCTTGGATGTCTCTCTGCTCTCCTGTCCACGATACTACTCCTATCCACCCAGTCCCCTCACTTCTACCGATCCCAACAGCGTACCCTGTGATCCGTTCTCACTGTCTTTCACCTTGGCGACCCCAAGAGAAGCGACTTCCTTGAGCCATGAGCCGGAAGTGGATGACCAAGTCCGATCGAGAAGGACGTAACTCAATGGTCGTCATACAAATCGACATGACAAAAATGACATCAGCTGACCCCATCAGATCACGTAGGTGTTGGTCAAGGAAGCATCAAACAAGGATTCCGTTGTGAATGGAGAGGTTGTCCTCGAAAGGGACAAAAACAAGCTTCGAGACATAGTTTGATCACTCATACTAGAGCACATACGGGTGAAAGACCTTATACATGTTCTCATCCTGGTGAGTTTTACCATAATCTCATTCCCTTCCAGTCTTGGCGATACCTTCGTCCGCTTGTACCTCACTTAGTCTCCCCGTTACTAGATGCTACTCTCTCGCTTCTCATGTCCGGCTACTCCGTAGGATCAACTTCTGGTCACATGGGGTACGTGTGTAAAAGATAGATCCATCTCACTAACCCCTAGGATGTGGTAAATCCTTCACTCGATCCGACGCCATGCAAAAACATTTGAAATCACTACACGGTCCCGATTCTCATCTTCGTAAACGTCCTGGTCCCCCACCCCGCCCCGCCTCCCAAATCTTGACCGGTAATCTCTACTCCGCTTCATTCTGGTCATCACCAGGAATGATCGATTTAATGTCTGATCCTGATCTCGCACCTACCCTCATGGCACTTCGTTCTCGCGATCCACTTTGGCCTCCAACACCAGCTGAAGAAGACGCTCTGGAAAGTGTTCGAAAAGCTCAACCTGGACCTCGACCTAAAAAACCTCGATCTGATGGAATTAGAGTCGGATCTGAAGTCAGGGGTGTGAAACGTGAATTAGGAGACGACGGTGAAAGACGGATGAGAAATCGTGATCGTGATGATGAGACTGGAAGTGACTTAGGAATGGTAGGAACAGAAGATCGGGAAGAGAGGAGAGGTAACAGGGAAGGAGAATTGGGAAAAGAGGAAGAAATAAATTCTGAATTGGACGATTTTGATGAAGGTGTAGGAAACGTGTATCAACATATACCACCTATAATCGGTATGGTACCAGATCCAGATGATCCGGAAAGAGAAGTACCTGTTTATGGAAGAAGTAAATGGCAAGTCAAATGGTTGATGGCAAAAGCAAAGTTCATGTTGCTAGTTGAAGAAAATCAGATGCGAAGAATGGATTTGAACGATGTTAGGTTAAAGGAAGAAGAGTTGAAAAAGATTCATGGGATCACCGAATGAGTTTATATAGGTTTGTAGATTGTCCATATGTTGTCATTAAAAGATTCATCGTTATTTACATTGTTGTTACATGTTTAGATGATGGAATGACTGAGGATTAACGTTCGTTTGAAGATTTACAATCATGGTGAAATCGTATTTGTACCCGTCACGGGTACTCTAAGTTACTCGTGGTTCACATCAGTTGATTTGAGGCATGGCAACCGTTGCCTGAACATTAGCTCGGTCTCCTTTCATCGTTTGATGTCGCCGAGCCCCTTTCAAGTCCCACTTTGTTGAAAGGCCTGATTAGGGAAGGATATGTAATTAACTCACCTTGTTTCCAATGGCATCCCCTGATGGCCACAGACTAGTTGTGGTCTTCCTCTGCGTGTAAAAGTCCAAGCCGGTCCGACCATAGAAAGGTATGTCACCAAGGAAAGACCCTTTGTTTCCGGACCAGTTGAACATGGGGAGAGGTACCTGGTCGTGAGCTTCCGCATTGATCGCAGATGACGGACACAGTCCTGTCACTCTGTTGAGCTTATCTCAGACCACAAATTGGGTCAGCTCCAGGATCAGGGGATGCTCACAGGGACAGCCACATTGATTCCGATCTGACCAGGCTCCGCCGTCAACTCAAAGTGCCGTGCAGCTGCGCCGTTGTTAGTCTGATAGTCAGTCCCCTGTTTCCATGACTTTCTCTTCTCACGTACGAAAAGAGCAGCCCCATTGCCACTTTTGCGTCAGCTTGATTCCATATTCCTGAGAGGCTTCACATAACCCACAGCCCCTAGGTTGAGGAGAAGGGAGTAGAGGAGACTCACTATTTGTTCGCGTTGATGATCTCTATGGCTTCGTCCAAAGTCTCTGCAGGTACGATACATAGTACCGGACCGAAGATCTCATTCCTACGTGTCAGCTATGAGTGTGTCGAGATTACTGGAAAACTCACTTGTACGCCGACATATCGGTCGTCACTTCCACCACAGTAGGTCCGACAAAGTTCCCGTCAGGATATTCTGGGACAACCCGACCCCGACCGTCCAAAAGGATCCTTCCCCCTTCTTGTTGAACGGTGTCTATGAGCTGCTCAATTCGCTCTTTTGCTTCGTATGAGATCACTGGACCACTGAACATCTCAGCGATACGTTTCCCAGTAAGTGGGCCAGTCATACTCACAGATCTGCACCTTCCTCGAAACCTCCGGTCACTTTCAATTCTTTGGCACGTTCTATGAGGTCTGGAATCCATTGCTGCGCAGCGCCAACAAAGATAGCTAGTCGACTCAACTCCCGCTCGATAGTCAAAGTGAGAGTACTTGCCTACAGAGATAGCCATACATCGTTGTCCGGCAGCTCCAAATGCCGCACCTGCGATCGCGTTCAATGTCAGGTTCTTGTTTGCTGTCATTCGTCAGCTAGACAATGGGAGTATGGAGGGAACACACCATCCGGCATGATAACAGCGTGGTTCTTAGCTCCCAAATTCGCTTGTACGCGTTTGCCTAAAGGACTAGCTCGGTCGTAGATATGCTTTCCAGCCCGATCTCCTCCCACAAATGAGATTGCTTTGATTTTGGGATGATCGCATATTCGATTCACTGTTGGTGCTGACCCATGAACACTATTATCAGTGGAAATGCAGTACCAGCTAAATGACTCCACTCACACGTTGATGACCCCTGGAGGCATTCCTGATATGTCAGCTATCACGACAGATCTTTAAGAATGAAGTCAAGCTGACCAGCTCGTTCGCACAACTCCGCGATAATCATTGTAGCCCCTGGGTCTCTTTCAGAAGGCTTCACAATCAAGGTGTTTCCTGTCCTTTTAGCTGTCATCATGTACGTTGCATGACAGCTTACCCGTCACGGTCGCCAAAGCGGCGGACCAAAGTACGATCATCGCTGGGAAATTGAACGGAGTGATGGCCGCACACACCCCAAGAGGCATTCTGCGAGAATACGTATCCATATCCTTGGACACCTCTAGCTTGTCACCTAGAAGAGTCGAAGTGATCGCCGCAGCCGTCTCTACCACCTGTAAACCTCGACTCACATCACCCTGGGCATCGGCAAAGGTTTTGCCTTGTTCCAGGACGATAGATTTGGCAATGTCGGGGATATGTTGTCGTATGAGGTGTTGTAGTCTGCGTGATATAAGCGGATCAAGAACGACTTGTATGGGTAGGTTGGAGGGCTTACTCTAGAATGACCCGTTGACGGCGGAGTATACTGGAGGTTGACCAAGATTCGAAAGCCTGAGAGGCTGCGTCGACAGCAGCGTTGAACTCATGCTCTGTTGTCTCTGGCACCCTGTTCACCACAGTTTGCGTGGACTAACTGGTAAGCTATCAAGTCAAAGGTTTTCCATTGATAGCGGGCATGATGATGCCATCATAATAGCCAAAGAGAAGGAAGGTGACGTACGGGATCTCTGACTTCTAACCACTTATCAGCCTTGCTATCCAAGAATTCCCCTCCAATATAGTTCTTCGTAGTCCCACCATCCGCCGTGGTACCTTTCCATTTGGAGCTGACTTGTTCGGCCGCTTGTAGACCCAAGGCAGAGTACTTGTGTGATGAGAGATTAGGGGACGATGAAGCCGCAGTCATAGCAAACCTGACCGAGCCCAAGGGACCCCGTCTCAAGCTGGGGAAACGAAGCATATTGGGATGGTTCAGTCTTACGTTCTGCTCATAAGCCGAAAAGAAGCGATAGACTGCTCTGATGAGCTCAAAGTGAGACGAGTGATGGCTTAAATATGGTCATGTACTGATGGAGATGCTATTCCATGCTATGGAGGAAGGGGTGGAAGGGGTCGAAAGGGGCCGCGTTCGGTCCGAGCATAGCCGGTTGCTTCTTATGGGCAAAAAGTGGGGGGGGTCGTTTAAGTTGACCCCTCCCTCAGTCACGTTACTCGTATTCGTATAGCACGGTAGGTATATCTATGCTTGAGTACCTTCACTCTTGTCACCATGACCTCTCACGAACAAGCGGTGGATCACTCCTCTACCACTCCAGAGCCAGGTAGAGGTCCTGAATCAGCGGGACCGTCCAGAACGCCCTCCGTCAGCTCGGGAACCATCTCTTCGTCTACCCCCTCACGCAAGGGCAAAGAACGAGCTCAATCGATAGAGGCGAGGAATGGTCGAAGCATGTCCCCTCGGCCGCGGCAAATCAATCCGACGGACGATTCAAACGGAAGGATCAATGGTGTCCAGAGTGAGGATGACGAAAGTGAGGATGATGCCGAGGAAGAAGAGCCGTAAATCTTCTTTGTATTCATAGTATCAAACCCCACTCATATGTAGAGCTCTCAAGTATAGTCGCCTAAAAGGTCAGATACCAGAAATATTGGCGAAAGACACTGCTTCAGCTATAGACATCTCTCCCCGGGTCATTGTGAGTCCAATGAACAGTGAAACAGCCGGAGCTCACCCCGCAGGCTCTGGGCACACATAACGGTATGGTTCATGTGTTGAGCTACGAAGGCTCCAAGGTCAACTCCTTCCGACCTCATGCAGCCAGTATCACGTGTCTCCGGATGGACGAAGAGAATGATTTTGTCGCTACGGCGAGTTTCGAAGGACGGGTAGTCATTCATTCCATCACAAGTACTGAGTCATACGCTTTCGACTACAAGAGACCTATGCGCGCTATAGCTTTGGAACCTGGATTTTCCAAGAAGACCACACGTAGATTCGTATGCGGAGGAATGGCCGGTAATCTGATACTGCAGGAGAAGGGCTGGCTGGGGTACAAGGAGCAAATTCTGCATTCCGGTGAAGGACCAATATGGGCAATCGAATGGAGAAGTAGCCTCATTGCTTGGGCGAATGACATGGCGAGTCTTTCATAGGACGTAGCTTAGTCGACTGACCGTTAGGGCGTGAAAATCTATGATACCGCAAGTGAAACACGTATAGGCTACATAGACCGTGGAGCCAATGCACCAAGAGCAGAGCTGTTTCGATGCACGTTGGTCTGGAAAGACGACACTACCCTTCTCATAGCTTGGGCCGACCACATAAAAGTCGTCCGCATTCGGTCTCGCTCTCGACCAACAGCATCTATCGGACCTCCAATACTCTCGATCGAATTGACTGCGGACTATCAAGTCGACTGCATGATTTCTGGTATCGCCCAATATCAGTCTTCTTATATGGTTTTAGCATATATTTCTCCGGACACGTTCGAGAATGAAGCAACCCAGGATCGAGCGGAGCAGAGGCGCAAAGCTGCCAACCCTCCGGAGCTTCGGCTGATACAGAATGGCGAGGAGGTATCTGCGGATGAGCTGCAATTGTCGAATTTCCACATGAATGGATGTAACGACTATTCGTTGGTCAAGTCGAGGCGGGACCAAGAGGTATTCTTCGTACTGAGTCCGTCGGATGTCATCGTGGTGCGACCGAGGGATGATGCGGATCATGTGGAATGGCTAGTCGAGAGAGAGAAATTCGAGGAGGCTTTGACTGCGGCGGAAGTGATGCAGGAGGAACATGGAGCGGCTCTGGACGTGAAGGCGATAGGTCTGAAGTACATGCGACATCTGGTAGAGCGAGGTGAGCGAGCTACCTCACCCGTCATGTATCACTGTAACTCACCTAGTAGGCGATTATACGCATGCAGCAAATCTGGCACCTAAAATGCTCAAAAGCGACAGACAGGGCTGGGAAACCTGGGTCTACATCTTTGTGCAGAAACATCAATTGAGCGTATGTACACAATTCCCGACACCTCGAGCTTCCTTGACACCTTGATCATATCGTGCGACAATGCGGCAAGCTGATGGATCAGGCGATCATACCTTTGATACCGACCAAAGAGCCTCAGCTGAGTAGACCGGTGTACGAGATGATCCTAGGTTATTTGGTCGTCAACGATAGACTGGTCAGCTCCACATATTGCTGGTAACCTTCAGCTGACACTGATAGCTGTTGCTGGAAATTCTCACCACCTGGCCAGCCGACGTCTACGACATCGGTACGGTCATGTCTGCTGTTCAAGGCGAGCTCCAAGCGACTAAGGATGACCCCACTCTTCTGGAATGTATGGGCGAGCTTCACATTTTATCTCGTCAACCTGCGAAGGCTCTTCCATATTTCCTCCGTCTGCGAAAGCTGAACGTCTTCGATCTGATAAGGGAACACAACCTCTTCTCAGCAGTTCAAGACCAAGCGCTGTTGCTTGTGGAATTTGATCAAGAACGCGTCACACACACCCAGCAAGAAAATCCAAATGCAGAGAAGGGCAAGCATGGAGCTGCCATTCAGCTGCTGGTGGATCATACCCATTCTATACCTGTCAGTACTCTGTCCCCCTCCTGAGAGCCAGCTGATGGATGTCAGATCGATCGAGTGGTCCATCAGCTCGAGGTTCGACCACAGTATCTATACATGTACCTTGACACCTTGTTCGATAAGGACTCACAATTGATTCTGCCTTACTCAGATAGAATGGTCAGTTCTCTTCTGTCGGTAAGGAGGAGCTGACTGACGTGCAGATCGAACTGTGTGCGGCTTATGATCGAGAGAAGCTCATGCCTTTCCTTCGAGCGAGCAACTTTTACGATCTCGAAAAAGCTTTGAATATCTGCAAGAGTCGAGATTATGTGGATGAGATGGTGTTCCTGCTAGGACGGATGGGTAACAATAAACAGGCCCTGATGTTGATTATCGAACGGCTAGGGGATGTGAAAAAGGTACACTTCTTCTCTCCCCGATCCCTCCCATACTCCCTCTACATCTACCTTCACAGCTCGCGCAACTTCCTGTAAGTCATGAGATTTCCGAGATTGGTGTGGACCAGGCGTACACGATAGTCAGCGTGGTTCTCCGTCGCATGTCGCGCTTCGCTCAGTGACTGACACATAGGCCATCGAGTTCGCTAGTGAACAAGCCGATGAAGATCTATGGGAAGATCTTTTATCGTACTCTGAAACCCGACCAGATTTCATACGCGCCCTTCTCGAGCACGTCGGAGCTGAGATCAATCCCATTCGTTTGATCCGCAGAATCAAAGACGGTATGGAGATTCCTGGTCTGAAACCTGCTTTGGTGAAGATCCTTCAAGCGTCAAATCTACAGGTAAGTCATGTACTTCTAGTCAGTGCAAGAATGCTGATCACTTAGGTCTCGTTATTGGATGGGTGTAGACATGTTTTGAATAGCGATTGCAGCTTTTTAGCTACCGACTTGCAAAAGGGTCAGACTGGTAGCGCTCGAGGTTCTCGTGAGTGTGTTCAGCGCTTGTGAACGGCTATGACGGCTATGTCTTCAAAGGCAATCTTGCATAATGACCATTCCTCCCCCCCCCCCCCCCCTCCCCCAGTGTACTGATCATTGGATAAGAAGTCCGTGTGAGAGTGATTGGAAAGAAAGAAGAGATGAAACTGCAAGATGAGAGCTGATAAACAGTATCAAGCACATGTGACTTTTGTCAACTCCCCCTCTTTCCCTCTTCACCCTCTTCATCTTCCCCTATCGTCCCTACACTGGGTTACCTATGTAAACACATGGTTCACTCCACTTGCTCATTACTCAACGCCGACGTCGAGCTGCCTGTGAGAGAAGACGCAGCGGTCTCCCATTTACTTTCCGGTGACAGGGGTAAAAGTGTTCGAACGCGTCAAAGAGAATTGGGAGCAAAGTTGTCTTATGCCGCCGCTGTCAGAGTGAGGGTAGGTGGATGTCCTGTGTGTTCTCATAAAAGAGGAGAAGCAACACGACGGGCGGTTCCGGCGTGATGATCACATGCAATCGGGTTGCGGTTTTGGATAAACGTTGGAACATTTGTCAAGTGGTCGTTCATATGCATGGTCGTCGTATGAACAGTAATTGTTCATGTAAATCCCCTTTCACCCTCATGCCTCATTCCCATCCCATTCCGCATTCCCATCCCATTCCCATCCCATTCCCATCCCACTCCCCATTCTCCATTCGCACTCCAAATCTCCATTCAGCAAATCCTTATTCTTTGCGGATACACAAATCAACCCGCTTCCACTTCCTCCTAAATGACATAACATACCATCTCGCCACTTGGTAAAATATAAAAACACGCCATACCATCTAATGGAAATCCCACAATTCCATCGTTCCTAATCCTACCCGATCACCCTCATTAAACAGATCCTTCCTCCTCCCAGCCTTCTTGCCTCCCTCCGCTACTTTCCTACCGTATAACCTCCAAGATCTGTCTTGCCCCTCCTTCTTTACCCCTCTTGATAGACCTAAACCTGACCCCTCCGACCTAGCTCTAGCCAGAGCGACCATAGCAGCCCTCTTACCCTCCATCTCTCCATTCCCTAGTGATCGTGTGAATCTCCCAAAACCGAACGAACGTTCCTCCATTTGAGCGATATGACTCGGAATCATTGCTGAACTGAGAATCACAAGAATGATGGTCAATGCGAAGAATAAAAAGGGTAGAAAAGAATGTTCTCTTTTCTTTTGTCTTTTTCTTGAATGTCGAGGAATTGGAGCGGGAAAGAGGAATGATCGATCGAATGATTGTATGTTATTCATGGTAGATTGTTTTCTGGTGTCTATTGGTTTGTCAATATTGGATGTTTCTCGATTATTCTGATGAAGTGAAGAAAGATGAGGTTGATGTGGTATGGAATGAGAGGAAGGGATGGTCGGATAATGAGACCATGTTGTTGAGCGTGGGATAAGAGGATTGGGTGAAGGTGGAGTAGCGGTTTGAGGTGTACAAGGTGTTATCACCACCGTTGGAATCGTCATTTCCGATGTATGATGATTTGATGGCTCGATAATGTTCAGATCGCTGTTCAGGTTGATGTCGTGCTACGTCGCACCAAGTGCAGATGGAGGAGATGGCTGAGTTGATGAGATGAGACCACTAGGGTCAGACGAAGAGAAGAGTCACAACGAGATATGAGAAAGAATTATAATCGAGTCCTGCTCGAAGAAAGTTTAGTTTAAAAGTGGGGCGTCGAAAGAGCACTGCTCGAGTTTTGAGACAAAGGGACCAGCCTCGAAGACCAAAGGGAGAGAAGTGGGGAAGGAAAGATGGGCACAGCGGCACCGTGAAAATGGACTGTACGAATATTCAAGTACTTGTGAAAGACCAAAGGTCAAAAGATCAAAGAAGAAAGACGAAAAAGCACCCGCCCCGAATGGTGAATGTTGAATGGTCAGAAAAGAAAAGGAAGAAAGTATGACATGTGGCCAACATACAAACTTTTCTCGTTTGTACGTTCAGGGTCCACGGGTAGGAGACATGACGTGACGGGAGACGCGTCCATAAGCCCCAAGGGCTTGCCTTTCCCTTCAGCCCATTTGGCACACACGTGGACAGAGGTCTGCTCTTCTACCGCTGATATGAGACAGTCAGCAAGTCGCACCACCGAGCACATGCATGGTCTTGAGCGCATGATGCAGTGGTGAGGGGAGGGTGAGATGGAGCAAGGCCGAAACGATGGAAATTTAAGGTCGTCCGATAAATTACCACTTTCGGATGTTCGTTGGTCGCTCATGCTCATTCACTTGAGAAATAGGCTCGCGGGGACACCCACTTTTCACCGGTACTTAATGGGTAGTCACTCAAGTGAAGCATCAGTGGATCGATACACCCGCAGTCGGACCCTTGCTGTCAGTGGTCGTTTAATCGCTTATCATGTGACTGCCAGGATCCCGCCGCGACGACCGATCATGTGACAAGATGGAAAAGGAAATTGGAGATGGAGGGAGATGCAAATGAAAGTCTAACTTTTCACGGACCAACTCCAATCCGCTTTCCTCTTCTTCATCTCGTCCCCCAGCTGTGTAAACCTTTTCACCTGCTGATTGCCATGCAGCTAGATCCCATCTTGTCCATCCCCATGTTTCTTTGATCTGTCATCAGTGCGCGTTCTCCTTGGTCTTTCTTCTTCGCTTCCTCACTTGAGCTGATAGGGATCAATGAAAACATGAGAGAGAATCACTCACAGTCGGCTTTTTATGTGGCGCAATCACCACCAACCATTTGGCTTTTGTACTCAACTCAGATAGCAACGCCCATAGTTCGCTGGTGGAAGGTACGAGGTGAAGGGCGAAAGAACAGATGATCATCTCCCATATTGCTTTCCCTTCGTCACGCTCATGTACACCGACGATCGGTCGCCTCCCTTGGGTATCTTCACTCGCTTCTGTGGATATCCTCGTCGGTAGTCGGTCATATTTGTGCAAGTCATCATTCAGAAGAGGCAAGTGTCCCGATGCCAAATCAGAGAAGGAGAGTGAGAAGCAATTTCTACCTGTCCGAGTTTTGTATGCTGGGCCTGTGTACTGACCGTCAGTTATATTCGCTCGAATGATATGGATGCGGGGGATTGTTAAGATATTTGACAAATGAGTTGGAGTGCGACTCTTTAAAAGTAACTCACAGGATCAGTGGCCGTTATCTGAAATGAGAAAGAAGGTGGTAATGACGGAGGTGTGGATGAGAACAATTCCTTCTCTTTCCCTTTCCCCCGTCGAGCGTTAGGAGGTATGAACGCCCGATTTTGACGACCAGGACCTGCTGTCGATGAAGGATAAGTATTTGCTACATCTGAACGGGTGGCGATCGATGAGTGTGAGGGCAGGGGATGAGATGTATCTGAATAATTGGACGCCCATTCCGAGAGACAGAGAGTAGCTTCCCCACTGTACCGATCAGCCCGTCTGAAAGTCTAGAACTTCGTGGCTCACCTACCAGCCGCCATGTCCAGAACATCGACCGATCGTCCAGAAGAAGCGAAAATCTCACGACCTTCAGCTTCCCACCATCGATTCATGAACGCCCATAAAACCTGAGATCAGTTCTCGAAAATTCTTCCCACGGCGATAGACGAGGCGGTGATGTAGTGTGAGATCTGTGATATCTTCTTCCCACGGAGTAAGCGAAGCAGTGCTAGACCGTGAGATATCGGACGTGAGAGAACTTATGTATCTTGGACATACTTTCTTGATACCAGGCATGAAAGGGTTACGATAAGTCGATGAAACTCTTTGATAGTACTGTCAGACATCAGCCTCCAAAACATTCGTTAGTCCATTCCCGAAAGATACCAGAGAGAAGGGCGGAGAAATGCTCACTTCGTCCACCCCGTACTGATCATAATTCTCCCTCATAGCGTGGGCTAGATTACCCCAGGTCTCGGCCATATTGCCTAATCGAGTAGTAGTGAAGAGATGAAAGGTGGAATTTGTCGAGTTCGAATAGGCGATGCGGGGCTCCTTTCAATACACTGTGGCACTCCCAGTGTGGCGAAAGCGAGTGATACGCACGGAACTCGCCTGGGTGGTGCTCCTCCGTTCAACTTTCCAAATCCGCACAACTTATGAGAACGACTTCTGTCCCATTCCCAAAATGTTTTCATCTCCTTGCCGTACCACCTTGTCATTAGAACCCCATTTCACAAGATAGAATTCATCATGGAACCTGCCTCGGTGCTGATAGTGCAAAACTCTTGCCACACAGATGATGTACTCTCCAGGCTCAAACTCTTGAGCAACAAAATCTGGGGTTTGAGCCTCTTTGGGAGTGTTCCTATCGGCCACAGCTCAATCAAGCTGCAGATCCTTAGCTTGGCACAAACACGTAAGGTGGTCGACGATCTAGCTAAAGTATTTGAGAGATTCACCCCTGATGATTTTAAACAACTCAAGAGTGAAACATGCTTTCAGTGGTTTGATGATGTACCTCAACATTTGCAGCCCTTTTGGAAAAGGCAAGACTGTACCAGTGGTTCAAGGGATTGTGCATCAGCTCAAGCGGTGTTTGACTCCTTGAACCAGCAGTACATACAGCCAACACAGCTATCAACCGGGCGTTGGTCACTGACATCTGGCTGGATTGGCAGCCAAGATTTGGCTAGTGTGGATGAAAAAAAAGAGTTGAAGAGCTGCCTGAAAAGGATGACGACCAACATCTTTGACCTGTGTGACCCTTTGTACACCTTGGATGAGAGATTAGAACTCCTTTCATTTTGAGACCTGGAAAGGAGTTCTAATCGCAGCATCTTCTTGAGGAGTGAATTGTGGATTGTCTAGATTTGTAATCTTCTCATCCAAAGGGTCGACCATGAAAGCGTTACCAGTGACAAATGTCGATGGGACCACCCTAACCCTAAGCGATCAATCAGCCAGCCAGAATGGCACTCACTCTGGAACAGTCGGGACATTCAACGCATTACCCACAATGACCCAAAACGCTCCTACATGACTGATGGCCTCTAAGCCATGTCGTCCACCGGAGTAACACAGGTCGGTGGCAAGGCTATGATTGGTCAGGCTCTGGAGTATCTTCGAAGGACGGACATTGTGAGCGTCGACTGACAGCATGACAGGTGTTGAGGGGTCAGAAAAAAGAAACCGGGGACTACTAACATCTGGAGGTTGTGTGTGGGTTCCGTGAAGAGGCGGACAGCACGATGCCCGTCCCATGTGATTAGACCGTCGCAGCTATTGGCCTCTTCCAAGGTTAACTGCACATTCCCTCCTGAGAAGAGTGATGTGTAACTCACTCTAGAAATCAGCGAGAAGCTAGTCAAGGGTTGAGGAGAAGGAACTCACTTTGGAATATTTGTCACTAAATGTCACAAAGTGTGTGACAAGTCGAGCGAAAGTCGGGGAAGGGTATTTAACCAGCGATTGGCGGTAGTGTTAACCGCCGATTAATAGGCCTTTTCGTCGCAGTGGTTTAGATCACTGTTCCGTTGGGCACTGTTATATCGTGCATATGCTGGTCAGTATGTCTCGTGACAGATTAATCGGCGGTTACGGGTAGGATCCTGGGTTCGACTCCCCGGACGGTGCCGGGGGTAACCCAGGCCCTACTTGGAAAACCTCCCTCTCGGAGTAAGTTTTCGGTCTATCGTACCCTTCCCAAGTGTGGGGGCCCAAGCGGGGTCCCCTTGTCGGGGCCCCAAAGCGGGGGCCCAAGAGAGTGCATAATGTCACAAAGTGTGTGACAAGTCGAGCGAAAGTCGGGGAAGGGTATTTAACCAGCGATCGGTGGTAGTGTTAACCGCCGATTAATAGGCCTTTTCGTCGCAGTGGTTTAGATCACTGTTCCGTTGGGCACTGTTATATCGTGCATATGCTGGTCAGTATGTCTCGTGACACTAAAGCTCTGTCAGCCTAAGCACAAGTGTTGTTGCCTCTACTGCATGGTGTGGTGCAGAATTGGTCAGAGACTAAGGGGGAGCAGGCAGCCTCGGGGTGATGAGTGGTGACATGATTGTGATGAAAGGAACATGCTCACAATGTACATTCAAACACCAAAACAGCCTTATCAACAAGCCGGAGGGCCTCCCTGGAGGCGGACATCATGAAAAGATTACGAGCCGTCAGATGTAGATGGAGCAGAATGCATGAAGAGAAGATGTGTAGAGTGTGTTGGAGACGAGGGATTATGCGGGAATAGCAATAGCGCGGCAATGTGGCAGGTACGGTGGCAATACCGTAGGCTAGATCTGTGTCGATTTGGTCTCATTGCCGTTTCTCATTCTTCATCTTGTACCGAAACGCAAACACGATTTAGACCCTAACCACTCGAAATCGAACAGGAACGAACATGGAAAGAAAGAGATTCGATCCGAAGGTTCAAAGGAAGCTACCAGAGCTTGCAGGGAAAGAACCAACGCTTATCGTAAGATGGTAAGTCATTCTTCCTTCTCTTCAATCACAACAAACAGTCGAGTGATGCGCATTTGATGGTGGGCAGATGAATCAGTCCAGAAATGTGTTCCAGACATACATTTGACATTGAGGGGTCAAGCTGGTCAAAGAGCTCTCTGGTCCCCTACTCCCAACGCTGGCAACTTGGACAAGCTCCCCATTCTCTTGTGCAACTTTGAGCACCTCCAAAAGGTCAGGAGAAAGAGAGAAGCTTCGGACAAGTTGTGAGTACATATTTGATGTTGCATGTTTCTTGCCTATTCATAGTCCATTGTCGCCCCGTCTGACTTCACCTTGTCACCTGCCAACTATCACAATCTTTTCCCCTCCGTCTGAATCCTAATTTGCCATCAACCTTGTCTCTTCCCGATTACTTCTATACGTCAATTGCCGGAGTCGAACGTGAAAATTTGATACCGATGATGAAGTCTTTTTAGGACAAGACATGCAAAAGGAAGTTTAGTGATGATGAGCGGCTGATCTATTGAGTAGTTCGCTGGCCAGACGGGTTTGTTTGAGCATCAGTGTCACAATCGTCGTTTCTTCTTCTCTACTGACCGACGGTCGACAAACCTCGGCTAACTACGTCGTAGTGGGGCGTCGATGTCTCACTAAGACAGGGTACTCGTCGAGGAACTACGGCTAACTTCGCCGTAGTGATACGTCGAGTGGTAAATGATAAGATGATCGTTGATGAACTGCGGCTAACCTCGCCGTAGTACGTTGAACTACTCGGTGGTAGCTCTCCTTAACTCGAAGGTTGTAGCTACTGAATATATCTCTCGCTACTGACAACAATCAAGGATCGCTGAAGAAGTTCAGCGATCTGTAAACTATCTATACTACTCCTCTCTTCTCATAGAACGTCCCTCAACTCCTGCACTGCCTCACGCTCAGTCCTCTTTGTTCAACTTCGCCGTACCTCGTCATATCCCCGATATCCTTCTCCGCTCACTTTGACTAACTTCGCCTAACTTCCCCTGTTCTGCTCTCCCTCGGTTCCCTTCCCCTAACTTCGCCGTAGTTCTCCGCTAGGCGGGGTTATCGTGACAAATCCCCTCCTGGTTCTCGTAACTTCGCCGTAGTTGGTCTCAGTGGTTCGAGTGGGGGTTGGTGGTGGTGAAAGGAAGGTCGGTGATGGTGAAAGGAGGGTCGGTGATGGTGGTTGTCAGGGATGTTACGACGTAGTTCGTGACAATCAGAAGGGTTGTGATTAATGTGGGACTGAAGGTGCTCGATACATTCTTGTAATGAAGAGGGGTGTATGTCGCAATTAAACAGACAGCGGAAGTTGTCTGTGATATTAGACTTCATGCCATTGTGAGATGAATGAATGAATGACTTACTGCCTGATGAAGAAGTGAGACTAGATGATCCTGGTGAGTTAGCATCGATCTTGGTGTCGAGGCCGGACAACCCACCTAGTCTTCGCTTTTGAGCCATTCTACTTGTCTCAGCGGCCTGTCCTGGAGAGGCCACGACAATACAACTACTACTACTACTTTTTCTTTTTCGATCTTTATTTCTCTGATATCTTTCCTTTACCTTCTGCCTACTCCATGCCTCCAATAGCGGTTGTGAGAAATCAGCTGCGTGGACCCAGGTTGGCTTCCATTCTAGCCCTTGATCATCGAAACCGTCCCACCTGACCAAATATTGGCTCGAAAGTCCACATCGTCTCTCTTCAAGGATCTCCACAACATCCCAATCGGCCACACTATCACTGCTGTTATTCGGGGAAATGCGTTTACTCATGCTGATATCAGGAATGCTCTTAAGATTCAATGGATCAATGTGTAAGGTAGTGAGAAAGAGGTTCCAGTCAGCTTGTCCATGGGAATTCTTGGATTGTGGGCTGTGGCTGACGATACTTATCGTTAAGCGTTGTCAAGGTGTGAGTTGACGAGGCTGAGACCATTAGTTACCCTTCAAACCTTGTTTTCAAAGGTACATAGGTGAAACACATGGTTTCAAGACCAGTGTACAGAGGGTGGCAGAAGCGATTAATTTCCTGTAACCCGCTGAGTGTCTTTTTCATCATTACATGCATACCAAGCTCACGAGGACGCTCGCACCTAAGGAGGGGGCGACTGTCACGAACCATGTCGTAACATCCCTGACAACCACCATCATCGACCCTCCTTTCACCATCACCGAACCCCTATCCGTCACCAACCACCACAACCCCGAACCACTAGTCTGAGTACTGTCCAAGGTATCGGAGATAACGGCGATAGGTCAATTTACTTCCGTAGAAACTTAGCTACCGCTTCCTCTCTCTTCATGCATCCGTATCATAACAGATACCCCTACAGTACTTAACACTGTTGATACCTCATGTCAGAAATTATGTCAAACGAACGTCTTTGTTCTTCCATTGGAGAACCTCCGGTGCGCCGCATGATCGAGATGGACCATCATCAAAGCAACGATTCACTTCCTTCCCCTTTCCCATCAGCCACGCGTTAGCTGAAGAAATTGATACGATCGACGCTGAATTTTGGACCAGCATGCAGCAAATTGAGAGCGAGCTTCACAAACTTGTTGCAACTACTTTGGGGAAACGAAAGGCGACGGGCGATCGTGAGTCAACACCTCTTTCGAAGCGGCTGGGAGGAGATCTCGCGAGGTCGGTCATAAAGGAGATGGAGTCATCGAACCATGCGCAAGATAATATGACTCTAGTAGATCTTAAATGGGAAATGGAGATGATGCAGTGTCGATGTGAACTCGCCAAGTTAGAACGTGATCGTGCGGTGGAGGACCGAGATGAAGCTCAGAAGAAAGTAGAAAACTTGACCAAAGAGTTCAAGAATTTGATAGAAGGGTTGAAGAGTTTGAAAGAAGGGTTGAGGAAGAAATGAATGACGGCTGTACCTTTCTTCACGAAGATATCAGTGAGTACTTACATCTCAAACCGCAGCTACGCCTCAAGAGAAGAATACTCTATTACCAGTAGTTTACAAGTACTGTACGCTACTGACCAACGGTGAACGCTGTTGAAGCTTGAGGAATGCAACGTCACAATACCTTCGTTTTTCATCTCAGTACTCTCTTCAGATGCATTCGAGATCGTCATGTCAAATAACGCCTTCATAGTTCAAATCTTGAGGATGAACAGAATACGGACGTTGTCAGTCTTTCGCGGTTGGTGACCGTGAAACTTCTACATGATGAGGAGAGGTTGGACTTGTTGAGGCCAAGGTCAGAATCAAACATCTGCTACGTTCGAGACTTTCTTGGTATCATCACCGTGGTAAAAAGCGTCAGTGAATTTCAGGCCAGTCCTTGCTTCTTGTTTATTTCATTGTCTCTGACTAACCGACAGCGAACCAGGGCAATGCCCTAAACGGTCTCTGGCCTTTTCTCAGATCCGATATGAGGATCAAAACGATCAAATCGATCAAATCGCTCTCGGGATCTCCTTTGGTACATACTTGTAAAGTCAGCTTTCCATGTCGCTTTTCTCATCCCTGATAACACATGTCATATCGAGAACGGATTCAACTGACTCTTCAGCTTGAGAGAATCAACAAAGATCTCAACATTCTACTCATTGATTGGAACAAGGTCGCGCGTGGGAAAGACAATTTGGTGTCAGACCACCTTGGTGGATTGTTTGAACAAGTAGAGAAATGTGGAAAGAACATCGTGAAAGAGGTTCAGAATTTAAAAGATAAGTCGTCCCCCATCGCGCGCTTATCAGTAACACTTTTTTCGTGTGTATCGTTCGATACTTCTCCATTGACATTTCGATGTTATCACAAGTCACTCTCAGTTCCATCTTGATCCGATATCCTTTCCCCGTTTGTGTATATTACAGTACTGATGGTTCAGAACACCGAACGGGAACCGGTAGACGTCACCATCAATGGGGAGCATTCTTCTTCAAAGCTTCCGTTTGAGCTACACAATTATTGATTGAAGAGCCTTTTCCGACCAGAACAGAGATGAATTCAACGGGGTGATCGTCCCGACGAACAAGGGGGAGAGTTGGAGAAGGGAATGAGAGAACTATCTTCACGACCTTCCACCTCCTTTCCCTCATCTTGAAAACCAACGACAAACACAAACCTTTGCATATCCACCACGAACGCCTGTTCACCTCACAAACCAAGATCGTTCTCGGACACCCTCAGCCACGTCCTCACAGTCCACGACGATGGATGGATCTAGTCTCCATACCGCTTGGGTGAGTTTACAAGATATTTCCTCTCGTTTCAACTGTGTTTGTTCATTTCATCCCTTCATCTTGCCTCATTCTTGTCAGACTTGGAATGCCATACGAGTTGTTTATTCGATCATCTCGTATTCCGTTTGCTCCACTTGATGCCTCAGACTTTGTGATTGTACAACTCCAGGGCCGTCTGTCACACATTTATATTCATATCCACATGGCATAGGAGTATACACGCTGATTTACGGGACGATCAACTGGATCCAACTCATCCGTTACATCCAAAGATTTCACAAGGAGATTCGGATGATATGGATGATGAAAGAGATACTCTTGATGTGAGTCCTTCTTCAATTGAACCTCCCCCTCCCTTCCCCACCCCCTTTTCATCTTTCAACGTAAGATATGACGAAAACAAAGACGTCATCGTCTTACCAGATCGTCGCCGTTTATGACCATTCCTTTCCCCGACCCTCTCTAACCCACACTCCCTACTTTTGTCAGATACCAGCTTGCATTACTTTCTT